ATTGATATAAGATTTGGAATAGTTGAAATTGTTTTGATTTAATTATTTACATGATGTTGGACATGGCTTATCAAAGGACTTATCATTTGGGGTAAGTTAAATTTTCATAACTTGGAAAAAATGAAAAATGTCTTTTTCAGGGATTAATTAAAACTTCATTGAAGGTCTTATTGTGGTGACCTATAGTTGCTATCTTCTCCATCAATTGGTCTCTGGTGGAAATTTTAAAAGTTGTTTCATTTGCAATCATACTGTAACTATATCCTGTAATTTTATGTTCATCCCTGCGTTTCTTCAGTTATTTTTATGATTCTCATAATGGGACCATGGAGGCTATGAAATAGCCTAGAAAATTGTTCTATAGACTGTGATCAATAAATTTTACCTCAGTGCATTTAGGTCTCCTGTCTGACATTTACAAACATTGCTTGATGTATTTATTTAAACCTGCAGTTTGTTATGAAGTTTTAACTTTGATCATTCAATTGTGGTTCATCTATATTTTACATATTTTTCTCATTGGGAATTAACTTTGCAAGGTTTTGTTTTTTCTTTGTTTTTTTTAATTTACAATATCAAGTATTCAAGTTTTATTAGCTAAAAAAAGGGGGGAAAACTCTATATATATATATATAATGTGTAAATATTAACTGTTCTTCATATTATACAGAGCTAGGAATGGGTTGACTAATGTTGACTGGTCTTAGAATTTCGAGCAAATGTAAACATAAAGTTTTTGATCTTTTGGTTGTAGAATTCACACCATAAAAAATAAAAAAGAATAAACCTGTAGTGCTATAATCTTTATTGGATAAGTACAAGTATGAAGAACTTTTGCATCAAGACTTGCAGAAGACATGCTCATTATTAACCTTGGTATTTTTTTTAATATATTTATACATGTTTGTGAGAGAAGAAATACCTGTTGTTTGTCAACATGGGAATGTTTATCAAGTCTTTGAAGGTAGCTATATACATGTAGCCTTTAGGGTACAAAGTTGGAATACACAAAAAGTACAAAATACTTGTACGTACTTACAAGTTCCTTGATTTTATATCCTTAATAAAAAGAAATATTAAGTAGTAATTTTTCTTAATAATACATTCAGTTGCTTCATATATTATCTTCAGTTTCTTATCCGATCTTCCTGCTTTAAGGAAATTAGCTTAATTTTCGTACTACGTTACTACAGGAAATATGTCTACACAATAAAAATTAACCAGTTATTTTGTTTGATAAAAAGATGTTATCTATAAAAGAGGAATTTCGTAGGAAGAACATCATCAGTTATCAGCCCTTTTAGTCTTGATATTGACTAGAGTTTTGAAAGGAATGGCAAATAGTACCAGGTTGTCCTTTCTCACTGTCTTATAAGCAATTTAAATAAACACTGTTTTGTAAGTTGGTGAGTACTGGTGGGTGAGTTCATAACTAGCAAAAAAACCATGAGCTTGCTTATAAGAATTGCTTGCATGTTGCATCTAACCTGACAGTTAAACATATTATATATGGCCTGTTTATGCAAATTTGTTCGTTAAAAATTTATGGCCTTAAGGTTGTCAAGATGTTTGAACATGACAAAAATTTATATTCACTAGAAGGTTTTAAATAGATAATCTATCAAAATTCCAAAGCCTAATTACTTGTATTAATGTTGAAATCCAAACCCTCTAGCCACTTTATGGCTTTTTAATACACAAATCCATATTTAAAATCTGAAAATTCACCTTAAAAATTCAGAAGGACTTTGATTTAATGTTTAAATGTGCATAAATCTACGCTTTGGCATATTTAAAAACAAAAGAAAGAAAGAAATTCAAGAAATATATGTTTAAAATTAAAAAAATAACAAGAAAGATAGAATTTTTTCATCCAATTTAAAATGAATAAAAAAAAGGATGATTTCTTATTGAAAAAAATATGATTTTTATTTGTCAAAATTAGCTAAATTAATCGTTAAAGTTTAATCTTGTAAAAGGTATTACATAACATAAAGGTTTGTCACATAATAAGGTGTTAAAATTAGAGGTCTAAATATAGAAAGTTATTTGTGAGTTATAATTATAACTTAGAAATGTAAAAAGGTAAGATAATTTAAACAGTTTATATCAGGTGTCATATTTATTTTAAGATTTATCTTTGAAGTTCCAAAGAGTGATATAAACACAGACAAAAACAGATCCAAACAATAGCAATCTTTTGCCATGGGGGTTTTTACATTCCATTCTGGATTTTTGATTTTACAAATTAATCTTTCCTGTGACCTTTGACTGACCTGAAGAAACTTAAGCCACTGGGTCTGGCCTTATAATCCTCATGCCTTATTGAATTTGGAATATGCAGAAATAAAAATAAATGTGCTGGAGTGAATGATTGATTAGATTAAAAGATGATTTTTGAAGTGGCTGGAAAAACTACATGCATGTCAATTTCAAAAGATGAATGGACATAGTCTTTTTAGTCTGAAGTGAAATGGACATTAAAGATTTTTTGTGTTATGTGAAGAATGCAAAATATGATTTCTGCAGATGCATAATTTTAACTTCTATGATTTTCTGCTCATTTGCTGTCCAATTTTTTTCTGACCAGTGATTGATACCATTCCAGTATATTGTAATAGTAAACTCTATTTGGACCAATCTCACCAGTCCATTGAAGCTGTAGTATAATAAGGATACAGAATTACAAGTTGGATTTAACTTAAGGGGAGATAACTCAGATTATTAACACCTTTGACCACTATCTAATCATCAGCATTCATGATCAGTACTGAAACAAAAGTGTGACTCACTATATTAAACATTATTTATCAATTTCCCAGGAGCATTACAGATACTAATGACCACAATTTATATAAAATTGGTTGACAGACAAGTCAATATTTATTGAAGGAAAATATATTGTCTGAGCTAGGAATCAGAATTTTGTGGTCAGGATTCTAAAAATACAGTGAGTATTAGGGGTAGGGAATTTTTGTGGTTAGAGTAAATGGTGTCGCAAGATTAAGATTTGTTTATGAAAGGATTAGGTTAACTAGGTAACAATTTATCAGGTATTTTAGGGGGAGGGCATTATAGTTTTATCTCCTTAAGTAAAAATACCACAAATATTTAAAATTTGCATTTTTTAGCGAATTTCTTCTTTTTTCTTTTTAAAGATCTGAATTTAAACTTTTAGTATGCAAAATATTTTAAAATTTGTACTTGAGATGACTTTCTTAAAATCGTCTCGTTTCACAACAAGCAGTTGAAAATATGTGCACTTGAATCTACTTTCAACGCAACTATGTGTATTAGATGAGTTAAAAACAAAAAACTAATCATTAAAAGTTTTTACAGGTAAAAAATGTGAAATAAAGGACATAAATAAAAACAAATGAGAAGGAATTCTTAGACAATGAAATCACAATGATATATTTGGTATTGTCTTCGTATGTGTCAGATTTAATGTCTAGTTAATAGTGTGAAGTAGTTCATTATCTCTTACTTTTGTGGCTTGTTAATGAGAGGTTTCTGAGTTTGATATGTTGGATCGTAAATGAATAGAAATATATCTTGGTTAACTTTTATATAGTCGTGATACTCTTACAGGATGACATGTGACATTCTGTGGGATTCTGACTTTTTTATTATGATTCTAGATTTGAAATTTATGATACATGCATCAGATAACAGTAATCACCCCCAAAAAAGTATATATTTTGCTTGAAGAAATGAAGAGTTTTGAAATCTTTTGAAGACGATCATAAAATCTGACTTTACTTGTTGTACATAAGTATATGTTATTTGCTGTAGCGCAACAGCAAATCTAGAGTGAATTTTAGTGTAGACTTCCTCTCTTCTATTAACAGTTAGTCCATGACATGAAACCGGAAAGAAAATGGTATTTGAAATTTAATCCATTGTTAAGTATCCTTCACTTTAAGTAGGATTTGACTTGAATTTGACTTAAACTTTGGAAACTCAGATGAGTTCGTGTTGATGATATTGAAATATTAAGTTTGATTTTTTGTTATGATGTTAAAAATATACTAACTTGGAACTTGAATAGCACATATTTTATGCCTTCTACAACTTTTAAGGCTATTTTTCATTATTTATTTTAAATGTTCTATAACAATTATTTAGGTAATAGAAAAATTTAATTTTGGATGTGAGTGAACTTGTCATTTATATTAATTTTTTTTACTTACCAAAACAAAAATTATGTAATATTTGTGACATATAATGTTGACCTTGTTTGGTGAAAATTGTCAATTTGATTGACTGTGTATTATAACCGAAAAACCTAAAACTTTCCATTTTGTGATTTGAAAAAAGCATGATTGGAACTTTTATAAAAATGGTTGAATTTCATATTGGAAGAAAGGAAAAAGTAGATAAAACTCTCATTGATTTGAGAACAATATGACTCAGCATTGCTCAAATAAGGAGAAATTATCAGGAAAATTTAATCTGTTGAGGATGCAAACATTGAGTCATCTCAGACAGCTAAAATTGCTAATTTAACACTTGTTGGATTTTCTATTAGAAACGAATCTGATAAAGAGCTGTGAATGTAACAGATTGAGTCATTTATTAGCCTTTTAGCATGAATTTATGTGCTGTAAGAAATATTAAGATGTCAACTTATCCTTAGATTAGTTTGTGGAATAATATTACATTTATTGTTCATCATATTCAGGAATATGACGGTTGTTTTCCATTTGTTAGATGTGTTTGAGCTTTTTATTTTGCCATTTTATAAAGGACTTTCCGTTTAGAATTTCCCTTGGAGTTCGGTATTTTTGTTATTTTACTTTTCATTAATATATTAGGCAATTTGTGAGAAATTGCCTTCATTTGTCTTGAAAACTGTTGAGGTCATATTTTAACTTTAAATTAAAAAAGTTAAATGTTCAACAGAATTGTGGAGGTTGAATTTATATTTGAACTATGTTTTCTTTTAAACAGATATATTGAGGTTGTATATTGTTTTGAACTTTTTTTTATCTTTTCAGCCCTCGAATGGGTTCTTCAAACATTTACCAGAACTTGATGCCAGAACATCCTGGTTACAGAAAGCCACCTCCTCCTCCACCTCCATCAGAGGAAGAGAAACCTCCAGAATTACCACCAAGAAATTATCGTCCCAAAGACATTTCACAGTCAGACTCGCAACTTAGGCAACAACGGTATCTACCGCCACAGGAAGAATCTCATGAACAATATGCAGAACAATTACGCAAATTCTCTCGTAGATATTCAGAACAGTCATCAGCTTCAATGATGTATCTTTCCTCCAAAACTCAGACTCACATTACACAGTCTTTTCCAAAACCAGAGGTTAAGTCTTTAGAGGCAACGTCACCAATTACATCACATTCACCTCCGTCTTCAATCTCAGCGGAGACTACGAAAATGTCAACTTCCCAGTTTGTTCCACAACAGCAGCCATCTTATTCAGCAAGTTTTACGCAGCCGACATCGCAAACTAAAAATGTGTCGCCCTCGTCATCTCACCATCAAAGTCCATCATCGTCAAGTTTTGACATCAGTAATGAGAAATTAAATGACAGTCGACACCTTCAGCCAAGCCCAAGACAGAGTCCACCAATGTCAAGAAATAGACAGCCTAGTCCACAACAACATAGTCCTCCACCATCTGTGTTAAGACAGATCAGCTCACCAGACCCACCCCCTCCACCAACACCAATAAAGGAGGGTGTAGAATTTAACCAGGAGTTACCTCCCCCTCCTCCAGAAATATTAAACACTTTGGAGCAGAAGCCTGATGGGTAAGCCTTTAAATCTTTTATATTTCTGACTTGATAATTGAAAAATAGTGACAGTAATTATAAGTTGGTATGTGTGGTCATCCATCTGTAGATATTTGAATTAAGTGAAATGCAAATTTGTTGTATAAGATTCATACCAGTTTTTCGTGGATTGAGGGAAAATTGTATTTTTTCTTTGAACATCTAAATTCTTGATTTATCTTTACCCACAAAATCTGTGTTTATTGTTATCAAATGAATAATATTGAAACCATAGTAAATATTTATAATCATAGCCCAAATTCTATGTAATATTAACATCCATAAAAAATACAAATACGAATATCTTTTATTCCAAATAATAGCGCACATAAAATCAAATCAAATCAGTTTATTTCTTTAAAGGCATTTCAATTACAAACAAGAGAATAAGAAAAAAAGACAAACTTATGCACATTCATTATAGACTTATACATTCAGTAAACATTATATCATTTATATAACATGTACAAAGATAAATAATTTGTGAGAGGAGAGCTAGCTGGGTTCATAGAGTGTCATCGTCCAAATTAAAAAAAATAGACGTTTAGAATGGACAAATTGGGAATTTTTTTGGAAAATATCGTTGAAGAATATATTTCTTGTTAAATAGTTTATGCTTGTAATTTTGTAGTGTAAGGGAAGTAACTCAATCTTGAATAATAACAGATGTGATTTGTAATTAAACAAACCACCTCAGTCAATGTTTATACAAGATAAGGTTGTTTACGTATCTTACATTTTAAGCTATTTTTAGCTCTCTGACATTTGATTACAAAAGTTTTTAATTAATGCCTACTGTTTATTTTTGGAAAAATTGATAGTGAATAGATTTGTTCTATTATCCTCTTGAGAAAACAGATGCATCACCTAGTATTTTATTAAGATGTAGATTAAATATATTATATTTTAATTTACTTCTGCCTGCAACAAATTCTCACATTTACACACAAGAAAAAAAATTTTTGATTTTTATCTTTAAATGACTAGTAATAAGTTTTTAGTAACAATATTTGATAAATCTGTGAGAGTAAATTTGTGTAATTTATTTCTAGTTTTAAAGTCGGTAATTACATGTCCATGCATTGATTTTAAAGTCTATAATGTAGCAGTAATTGTCCATGATATGGGTGAAGGCCAGGTCACCTGATTACTTTGATAAGGGACTTAATTAACTAAGACACATAAGAGAATACACATCCCCCTTTTATCTACATAGTGAGATGTAATTAGGGGCAGATGGTTTATACAACACAACATAGCATATATAATTTACACCTGTTTTTGTGACATTCAGTTTTGAAATGATGCTATTCAAACTTTTGCAAAAAGTGAAATGATTAAAATTTAAAGATGGTTGGCAGATTCATGTCTTAAATGTCAGTCTCTGAAACAATGAGAACAAAGAGGATCTGCAGGATTGTAAGAATGGAAAATGTCTGATGGGGTTGTTGGCATTCACAACAGATGCTATTTTCTTTGGAATTGATGCACTTTGCTTCCCAAAAAAAATACAGAAAACACCAATATCCCAACAGGTGCTTGTATTCTATGAAATGGACATTGCCTGTCACTCTGGTAAAATGAAACTTACGTCTCAACAGGTGCTGGAATTATTATTTATGTTTCTATAAAATGGACATTGACTCTCAAGAGAGAAAATAAACACAAGATAAGGCTAGGAGAAAATTACTAAATCTTTTATAATGGTCAGAGTGTATGATAACATCAAAGAAATGTTTGACATAATGCATTGAGCCAATGTTCTGGTGAAGTTTTATATGACCTGGATTTACTGATACCAGAAATTTTACTAAGTTCATCTCATACCAGTTTAAAACATCTGGTTTTTACTGAGGAATTTGAGATTCTGTTTGAAGTTGCTTGAGTAACTTAGTACTGTGCTTGTTTATTATTTTTTTGGTAACTTTTCGGAATTTAGAAAAAGTGTCTTGTACTGAAAGATAGTGATAATTTTAGCATATTTTAAAGTTGAGATAAGAAGGTGTTAAATCTTTTGACTTAAATCTGGTGGTTACCTTATGACTAAGATGGTGAGCTGAATGCTTAGTACTGCAGATTCATGGTGATAAATGTTACGTCAACAGAATTTGGCATTAAAAGGTCATTTATGGAATCTTGAGCCATACAAATGTGAAGTTTATTGCTGGATTAAAGGTGACATGAGCTTCATCATTAGATTCGGATAAATCTGAACTCTGATCTTGATTTTATAGTTTGTATTAGTTTTTTGTTGAAATTCTCATTGTGGAAGACAGATAAATCGAATGACCTACATTATTTTATTATTCGTGGATCTGTCCGTTAGTACAACAAAATTTTCTTAAGTTTGGTAAAGGTGTTACAAATAACCCTACCAGATGTGACTCATTTTTAATAATAATCTTTGCTGGGGAAGTTTGATCAATGTAACATCAGGGTCTTTCAGGTAAACGGATTATTGTGCGTAAAACTGCATCAATAAAATATATCAAATTAATTCTATAACAGGTGAAGGAGTTGTATGAACAGTCTGTGGTTACGGAGGTGTAAAATTTTCTTTGTGATTGAGGTCCAGTAATGTAAACGACTGCAAATATGTAGTGTATTGGTCAAGACAAGATTTTAATGGAATTTTTACATATATTGGCCTGAGGGATTTAGATTTTGTCCTTGATAAGTAGATAGTGATTGGTCGACATGGATGACTGTATTATTGGGGTACAGTAATAATCAAATATCATCCCGCCAATTTGTAACTAGAACGAAGGTGAATTTAACAATTTTCGTGATAATTTCAATGTGAAAGAATTAGAAAGTAAATTAATTTGATTTCCAATGGATTATAACATGGATTGATATGTATTCTGTTCTTTAACCTGGCAATGGTGATGTATGCCAGGTATCAACGTTGGGGTTTAAAGTAAGTTGTTTTTAATGGCTGTCCAATCATAAGTTAGGATTGAAATAAAGTTTTATACATTTTGATAAGATTTTAGAATTTCAATGAATTTAGGTTCTTTTTGTGTTTCATGTTATTGTGTTCTAAGAAAATCTATGGAAAATTTTTGAACAGATTATGTGAACTGTAGAAAAAAAGGAGTTGCCTGCCTTTAATCATTTTTACTCTAATTTTAATAGGGTAAATAGAAAATAAGATATTATCTGAAGAAAGTAAAATAAAATGCAAGGGGGGATTTTTTTTGGGTAGAAAAGGATCAACTAAACTTTTAGGCGTTACAGTTGCACATTATCTTTAGGTTTAAAAATTATATATGCTGTGTATCACACATTTAAATAAAAAATAATTCCTACAGGCTATCAGACATTGGTTATTATAGAATGACACATTCCACATTGATTACTGTATATCATAGAACATCAAACGTGTTATTACATACATTATTGTGTTTTATAACCTATAGACATGTTTTTCTGAGTGGGAACATATGTATATAGTAAAAGATGCTCAGACAATCTTTAACTTAATTAATAAGAAACAAATAATAAGTGCCTACAAACTTCTACTGCACATTTACCCTAGTTCCTGTCCAATGAGAAACCTGCATGTATACATGCAGTATGTGTTTTCCCTGCCTTTTTTGACAATGATTTTACAGGGGACATTAAATGACAGAGAGAGAAAAAGTGGACATTGAAGAACAAATTTCGCTGATGAAAAATTAGAGAGACCACTGTAGATCTTTCCAATTAGAGGTGGACCCTTGGAGATTTTCAAATGTCATGAGATTTACACTTTCGTTTCATGCTGCTCAATAGTCTTTTGAATAACTACAGGTACACCATGTACACAATGTAATCAGATGTCAAATTAAGCAGGGAAAATATTTCCAATCAATGTGACTAATTCAGTTCTGATAAATATTTATGATTTTTAAATTTTAGAAATAGAAAGTCAGTAGAAAAAGATGTTTTATAAATATTTTCTTTTTTAGATTTTCTGATGACTCTTACTTGGCACACAAAAGTAAAGGAGAGACTCGTCAAATAGGCACATACAAAAGATCCTCAACAACGGGAGATGTCAGCAAACTGCCATCAGAAACAAACAATAATAAAGTGGAAATTCAGAAACCACCACGTAAACGATTACTACAACAAGCATGGCAACCACAGACTAGTCAGCCAGAAATTTCAGAACATAGCAATGAACAAAGTTCTGTTCCACGATTCTCTGCATCGGAGAGTCGGGTCAACCCAAATGTTGTGAAATCTGTGGCAAAACCTTTAGAAAAGAACCACGTACAACAAAGACCCCTGGGTAGTTCATATAGTGCCAGCGCTCTTCTTACTCCTCGACCATTTTCGTCTACAGCAGGCACTTCCCAGAAAGACACTCACAGTCACTCTGCTGACAGGGAAGAGCGGACATCTGTACGAGATCAGATATTTAGTTATGAGAAAAAAGCTACACCAAGGAGACCTGATAGATTTAATTCTCCAAAACTAATACCTCGATCTCCAAGTAATATAAACAGTTCTAGGTCACATGTAGATCAAATGAATGATTCAAATGGCTTTGATTCTACAAGGAGACCTAGCAATGAAAATTTACAGCAAAGTGAATTACAAAATAACTTAAGTAATAGTGTTCATGAGGGATCTTCAAGACTTTCTTTAGATAGTGATCCTTCAAAATATTCCTCTCCTCGACGGACTTCTAATCCCCCTGAGAAGCATAAAATCAATTTCATAGGAAGATATGGAAACGATGGAGATCAGGAGAGGAAAAATCTTTCTCATTCAGACTTCAACGGGGATGTAAAATTATCTTTACGTTCTCAAGACAACCATCAAAATGAATCGTTCATTTTACCGAATAATTCAGGTGATAAAGGGCATTCGTATCGCCATAGTAACCGAAGCAGTGATCATGACACTCATAACGTTAATAAATCCCATATGTCTTTCACGCCAAACCATGAACAGCATCCTGCGGAGAGGAAAGGTTTGGTAGAAAAAGGTCATAATAGTGCTAGGGACCAAGAGTTACAAGTCTGTCACGTTCGACAAAGGTCACAAGAGGAGCTAGAATGTGATAAAAAAGTGTCAGAAATAGTAAAAAAGGACGAGTCTTTGAAACAGGTGCTAAAAGTAGATAATAAAGGTCGAATGGACTTCATGAATGGACTGTTTCCATTGGACGAGCCAGTTCGTCTTCATCACTCACCCCATCATTCCCCTCAATCTTCTAGTGTGAACGAGGACAAGCATATAGAAAATGACAGAAGAACAGAGGAACAAAAATCACCATTGTAAGTTTCTCATAATTTATCAACAAAAGAAGTTGTAGCTTGCTTTCAATCTAATTGATAAAAGGATCCCTTTGAAAGCTGAAAAAAATTTCCTTAAAAGTCACGAACAATAAAAAATTCTATTATGTTAAAATCTCGGAAAATAGGTTTATACTTGTATATGAATTTACCGGTACATACTACATTGTACTATAAACTTATTCTAATCAGTCTTCCCAAGTTTTGAGTTGTTTGAAAGTTATGTAAGATATCTATCCATTCCCCCACCCCTAATTAATTTTCAAAATTACACAAACAGAACAAAAAGGGGAGATAATTCTATCAAATTTCCATACAAGCAAAGATTTAATGGAAAACAATAAAATAAGATCAGATATGGAGTAGATAGTCTTGCTAGTATAAGATAAGACACTGTAGAAAAAAATAATTCAGATAATAATTAGATGGATGAGATAATCTATAAATTAGAATGGTATGTAGAGCTAATTGCTGGTCAACATCTCAAAAGTTATATTGGAACCATAAAAGTACTTTTTTCATGGATTTATACTACATTGTACTGGGTTCTATTGAATAGCCACTCATAAGTTACTTTTGCAGTCATTGTTTCAGCCTCAACACAAAAGAATCAGTTAAAAATATTCATTTGGGGGGGGGGGGGGTATTAAAATGAAATCTAGTAAGTTGAGTCCTGAATAAAAGTGCTGTCACACTAATGGTGTCTTGTCTGACAAAAAGGGTTTAATTTCATCAAAATCAAACAAACAAATCTTTGTGTATCTGACATTAAGTTGGTCCCCAAATTAATTAAAGTGAAAAGCTGACCACATTTAGAGGTAAAAGCATTTATAGGCCGTTTACATACTAATTTGTTGATTGACAAGATTGTACCTACATGTAAGTACCCAATTAACCTGAATACTACAATGGAAATGTCCCTTATACATGTTATAAAAGGTTAAGTTGGTCATCCGATAGATTAATGGTCAGATTTATAATATTTACATGTATTTATGGTTTTAGCACTAAATTAGGTGGACTTAAGCCATTACACATGATCAAACACATTATAAACATTCACTAACCATTGTAAACATGTTTATGGGAGGCAAACTAAGGCAAACAGAAAATTTCACTTTAAAACTTTTTTTTGTTCCAAAGTTTCAAAATTTGTCAAATACCGGTAATTAAAATTTTTGGAGCAGTTTTCATTCAATGATCATGATGGTTTTTTGTAAGCATTATACAAATAAAAGATATTGTTTATGTAAGTAATATTTTGACATATTTTCGTATTGTAAATACCTATCGGTCACTAGGTACAAGGACAATACAAGAGGATAATCTACCCATTCAGTGACCATTAAATACCCATCTCTTGTGTTCTATCTGTTGATCATACATTCCTTACATTGTATTTGTATGTACACTAGGGAAGGGACGTTAGTTTGTTTTTTCTTGTTTATTTTGTGATAAATACAGTTTATGGTAATGTATTCATTTATATATCTTAAAGTTTCTTTTCAGTTTGGAAAAAAAAAATTTCAAGTTTACAAAGGATACAAAATTTAATCATGTTTCATTTTCCAAAAAATAGGATAATATTATACTATTATACTGTTTCATGAACTTATTCTAATCAGTTTTCTAAAGTTTTGAGTTCTTTGAAAATGTGTAAGATATGTACCCCATGTTCCCCAATACTTTTCCAAATTACACAAACAGTACAAAAAGGGGAGATAATTGTTTATTTTTACACTCAGTATGATATTAGTTTTGGCAGTAGTTAGTGATTGCATTGCTATGATCAATGATGATACAAAAGTACTGTTTATTTGTAAATAAGGATGTCTATAGACACAAGATTGATATAAATGCCAGTTACAAAGACTTTGGATCTTGATACTCTAACATGCTTAATGCTAGGACATTGATGGAGTGGTTATGACTTTTAAGAGAATAGGTGGTTGGTCATAATCATAAGCAGTGTATGCAGCGAAGGTATTATTTTCACTTGGAATATTGTTTGCATTATAAACTATTAATATTTGGTAAATGAAAACATAGAAAATCTTTACAAAATGTTTTTTCATGATTCATTTAAGTTACAATTTACAATCTAGTTATTTTCCTGATTTTTAGAGATTTTAATCTGAACACTTTAAACTAATATCAAGTATTTATACTGTTACATCAGAATTTGTTGCAAAGATTTATCATTGTGATTGTAAATCAATGAACAAAATTCCAATTTATTACCGTGGAAAGCTGCTGCATACAATTAATTAGAAGGTAGTCTAAATAATATGACATAATCACATCACGTTTTTCACAATAATAAAACTCTGCAGAATTTACAGCACTGGATATACTTGACTTCCTAAGACTTGCGTTTTAATCATCATAGAGATTCCTGACAATTTTTCATGTACTATTTAAACAATTTTGATTTGTCACGTTATTAATTAATATTATATAATTTTCAGGGATACATCAGCTTTACCAGCAGATTATTTTAAGTCCTCGCCAAAAGCTAAGATTGAGATGGATATGAGAGGTAAAAGTGACGAGTTTAACCAGGAAATGTCAAAGGAGATAGGAGATCCGGATACACTCATCAAAACTAAGGTAATGCAGGTTAGACACTGTAGATCATTCTATGTAGCAGGGTACCAGGTAATGGGGTGGCTCATAAGTCAGATGCTTTATACTTTACTCCTGCTCCTTGTGACTTTGGTGACACCTGTAACTTGAGAGGTTTGGAATTCCTCAGAGAGGACCATATCACAAAGATAAAATTGTACAGATAAAGCATCTGGAACATATGAAAATGTATGGGATAGTTATCATAGATTGAAGGAAAGTGATGAAAAAATATGAATTAAATTATGTCACACACTTTTTAATCATTTTGATGAATCAGCAATAAGTTAGTAATGATAATCTATAGCTCGAACTATTATAACTTATATGGGTATAAGTACTATGTTGTTAAATAATTTTTTTTTGGCATTTTTTTACCATATTAAACAATGTGATACATCATGTACATTTATACAACTTATTTTTCAGGAGGAACTTGTAAGAAGTATTCAGAAGAAAGTAGAAAAGTTGAAAGAAGAAAAATCAGAATTACAGAAAGAATTAGATGAAATTGATGAAGTTGGACAGAAGGTTTGTATTTTGTTTTTTTTTTTTATTTTCATAACCTGTTTATGTTGTTTAAGTGTACCAATCTGCACATAAATTTTGCATTTTTTCGGGAAAAATATTCATACCGTTTATAGAAAAACAACTCTATGATGTCTATTTACAGTTATAGCAAAATATGAGAAAATTACAAAAATTGTCTATACCAATAAAAATTTCATTTGCAAATCTTATCTTTAAGGAATTTCTAATACACATCATTCTGTATGCAGATAACAGGTATTTCCTGTTTTGCAAATGAGCTGTGGTACCTTCGGTTTTATAAGATTTGACAATATTTATAATGCATACATTTAGTATACGCTCCCATACACACTAGGAGTGGGGGCTATATTGCATTCACATGTTGGTCCAACAAATATTTTCATCACACATTTCTCTGGTACTACTGTTGACCAGAATGACTTCATATTTGGTCAGCAACCTGACAATGATGAATCATAATGTGTGAGCACTTTCCTGATTTGTGAGACACCTATTTTTTGTTGTCCAATTCTTTAAATTAAGGGTGGGTATATGCTTAGAAAGACAACTCTTGTTTGTTTTTATAATTTCAAACCATTAATCGACATACATTAGTACTTTACATCATTAGAAAACTAATATAAGTATATTTGTTTTTACAGTTAGTAGAGGTCGTACAACAGAAAGGTCGTACACAACAAGAGAAAGACAAGTTTAGCTCCTATATCACAGACATGGAGAAGATCATCAAATTACTCCTTAAACTTTCTGGGTTACTGGCACGAGCAGAGAATGCTCTACAAAGTCTCCCAGATAATTCTAGTCCTAGTACAAAGGTTTGTTTTATTGCTTACTCATGTAACTTGTAAATAATACAATAATCGTTCAGGTCTTACAAGTTAATAAATAATTTGATACTGTAAATTCAGAAATTTTTGCAGTGATTTTATTGTTTGAATGGAAAGATTTTGCAAAAATAAAAACTTGTATTTAAATTTTGACAGCATTATTTCAATGCAGCATTTCCTGAAATGACAATAATTAATAATGCATTTGTTTCTATTGTTCAACATTTGCAATATTAAAATTACACAAAAATTTCTGAATTTATAAATACTGAACTAGTAGTAGAAATTTTAAAGGGAGATAATTTCAAAATTAAAAGTCTTGTTATTCCCCCTAAATTGTTTAGCTTGAAAACAAAATTATGAAATAAGGATTGGTAGATGTATTTCAGTCATGATTTAAGGAATGAAGATTTATTAATAACATTTTAAATGAAAGACAAATTTAGAATGAAAGTATTGTTAAGAGATAAAAGCCATAGATTGCTAGAAAGATAAAGTGACTTGTCTACCATGTAGCCTAGGTTAGAAAGATTTTTAAAGAAACTGAAGAAGGCCAGTGACCTAAACATCTTTGAAATGGCTTAATTACTTAACAATAATGTAAAATATGTTCTACGCAATATATACAAGAAACAAGATTCGTGAGAGTTTAACAATAATGTAAAATATGTTCTACGCAATATATACAAGAAACAAGATTCGTGAGAGTTTAACAATAATGTAAAATATGTTCTACGCAATATATACAAGAAACAAGATTCGTGAGAGTTTTAATTCTAAATTTTCTCTTTATATTTACAGAAGTTAGCAGTAGATAAAAGAGACAGATTACGAGATCAACACGAAGAAGCCAAATCGTTAAAAGAAGACATAGATAAACGCAGTGCTCAGGTTTCCATTTTTCTTCAGGACTGTTTGACTGATGCTGAACATGAAGACTATAAATATTTCGTTCAAATGAAATCAAAACTGACGATAGAAATGCAGGAGTTCGAAGACAAAATTACTCTTGGTCAAGAACAAATATTAGGTTTGAAACGGAACATTCCCGATAAATGATTGGTTGTTACATAGTTGTATATTTATAGAGCAATATGTGATAATGTGTATGATGTGTATTTGTGTATGAGTGTGTTTATCTGTGAGAGAAAGAGTTTATTAGGAACATGTCAAAGTAATGAATGTCTGTAGTTTTTGTTGATTATAAATTATTAAGATTTGTTTTCATACATACTGATGATTTTAGTGCATTTTATACGTTTATTTTTGTCGTTCAGTTCAGAACATTTTATTTGAGTCGGAAGATGTTTTAATGTGCTTTAGTGTGTTATTAATATAAAACAAACCATACCTGTTGTTTTCAACCAAGAAAGTATATTTGCAAAATATGATGATAATCGTAACATATATTATGAAAACATTATCTGTAAAAGATATATATTTTTTTTTGCATGCTTTATATGTTTCTTTTTCAATTTTCATCTTTCTTTCATCTACCATCTAAATTACAGAATTAAAAAGTTAATCATTAATTTTAATTAAATTGCAAAAAAAAAAACATTTCAGTTATTCATTTCATGGCAGATAGGGTGCCTGACGAAATTTTAAACATATTTAACATTAATTTTTGATTAATTTGCAAGAAAAACATTTTATCATTCATTTCATGGCAGATAGGGTGCCTGACGAAATTTTCAGCAAAACATTTTCACATTATTGTTTTTTATTTCGATACATTGTTTGGAACTAGCAGTATATATTATTTTAGTATGAAATCCTGACATACAACTTTTATTTTATATTAAGATGATCTCATCACATTTAAGATAAACTTTAATTTGCAAACCTTTTATTGGTTTTGAGAGATTTTAAGATTTTGTAAGAGAAGGAATGTTTTGATGATTACTATTCTTCCTTTGGCATGCTGAAAATTTTAAAACGTAATACATTGAAAAATTCAATGTTTTAGAATGTGATTAATATGGTGAATTTTATGAAAGAAACAAGGTAAATGTGTCCACATGGTATCAGTAATACATAATTCCAAATTTATATTTTCATATAAAAAAAAGAAAGTATATTTTTGTAAATAATGTACATAAAATCAAATATATTCAATTGTATATGGACTATTTCACACCTCGGTTCAGGGGACATAACTCTCAGCTTATAGTTTGTTTGATTTTCAGTAAAGTTCTTTTCATTTATTTAGAGAAAAAAATTAAATCAATGGATTTTTTTAAGGTGTTTAACTTTACTTATATGATATGGTACTTCAAGATTTAAAAAAAATTTCTCAATATCATAAAACTAAGAATCAGTTGACCTTGATAGAAAAGATAAGAAGACTTTAGTATGATGTCAATTTCTAAAACAATTAAATATTTAGTTTAGTTACTATATTTTACTCTATGCAACCTTCTGCTTTAGGACAATACAATTGTTTTCACCATACATGTATGGTTTTGAATTGTATTTTCATGCTGAATCTGAAAATCAAACAAACTATTATTTTTATTTTGTTGTAATTTATTTATATGTTTTGGTGCCTTGTTGTCGAATCAGCAAGAATATATGTCAAAAAATGTATGTTTCAACACTCATCCAAGTCATCAACAAAAATGTTTTAAATGAAAAAAATAAAACATTTAATGTTATTTTAATCTGTTTTGTTTTCTCTCTTCTTGTCAGTTCATGTAGTAATATATATAAAATTAAGGTGATACTGCCAATGAGACAACTGTTCAATAGAGCCCAAATGAAGAGGATTTATGCAACTAAAGGTCACTGTATGGCCTTCAAAAATTAGCAAAACCCATGCTGTATAGTCAAATATAAAAGGACCCAACAAGACAAAATATGAACAATTGAAACGAAAAAACCAACTGCCTGATTTATGACAAAATAATAAAAGAAAAACAGATATGATATACAGCAACCAAAGACAGCCACTGAATTACTGGCCGCTGACTTGGGGCAAGCACATATAGAATGTGGCGGGGTTAAACATGTTTATGAGTGCTCAACCCTCCCTTAAGCTAGTACATTGGTGTTACAGCACAACATGAGAACAAACTATAAAAATCAGTAAGAAATGGCTTGACTCATCAGATTAGTACGATGCACGAAAACAAAAACTAACATAAAGACAAAAGACAAAAGTACAGATCTTTTTTTGGGGTAAACAAACGATAGAATTTAATCAATTTCAAAATATCATGAGTTTGTTAATAAGGTCATTAAATTATAACTATTATTATTATGATAATAACAAACATACATACACAGAACTTCAAGATACGAAAAAAAAGCACATCCAAAAATGTCATGGACATATTTAATCTTACGATTGATTCAGTGTTAAATAATACAAAAATGTATACATAATGTACATGTGTATATGAAAATGTACCTGAATATTACCATAAAATTCAATTATCATATTATTATTACATAATTTTGGGCTCAAAAATGAACTCTTAAAAGGAGTAGGGGCATTAAGGCACGTTTTTTAATGCAGTTTTCCATCGTTACTTGCATCTTAAGGGTATTTGCAGTTACTGAAAGCTAGTTCAAAACCAATCACAACTAATAAATAAATCATATTCTCCTGGACTAAAGGTCATTCCTCATCTTAATTCGTAGCATCCTTGCCTTTGATTTGTTTAGTCTGCACTTAGTACACAATACATAAGAAGCATAAACCAAGACAGGTGGCTATGAATACAATTGTGTTAACTAATTGTCTTACACCAAAGAGATAGTTCTGTTGTTTAAGCTCATCTTACTGAAGGGTAATTTTGGCATTTTGCCATCACTTTGTGTGTGTCGTTTGTCCTCCATAAACCTTTTCTTTTAAATCTTCTCTTTTCCAAATTATCTCCATCAGTTCCATCTTTTATCAAGTTCACTTTCTACAGGCTCTGTTTGGATGAACATTGGCACGTGTGTAGAAATTTTTGTACTTTATCTTTCAGTAAAATTTTAAACTAATTGCAGTTTTTGTCTCGCCTGTGATGAAAGTCGCAGTATGCGAGACATAGGTATTACTATCCGATGGCGGCGGCGTAAACTATTTGTATAAAGCTTTATATTTCAGATGGTAGAAGACCTGTATGCTTCATATCTTGTATGAAGATACCTTATGTTACGAAGTTTCCGTCAATCATATGTCCATTGTCCTTGACCTCCTTTTCATGGTTTAGCGACTGCTTGGAAAAAAATTTTAGTTTTTTTTTTCATGTGAATTTCTCACTTATGTAATGGGTACATGTCAGTCTGGCAGGTTTCATCGGACCTTGACCTCATTTTCATGATTCATTGGTCAATGTTAAATTTTTGTGTATTGTATAAAAAGAAGATGTGGTTTGATTGCCAATGAGACAACTCGCCACAAGAGACCAAATGACACAGAAATTAACAACTAAAGATACTGTACACTGTATGGCCTTCAACAATGAGCAAAGTCCATACTGCATAGTCAGCTAAAAAAGGCCAAGAAATAACAAATGTAAAACAATTCAAACGAGAAAACTAACGGCCTAATTTATGTACAAAATAATATACGAAAAACAAATATGTTACACAGCAACAAACGACAAGCACTGAATTACATGCTCCTGACTTGGGACAGGCATATACAGAATGTGGTGGGGTTAAACTCGTTTGAAGGTGCCAACCCTCCCCTAACCTGGGACAGTGGCGTAACAGTACAACATAAGAACAAACTATAAAAATCAGTTGAAAAAGGCTTAACTCATCAGATTGGTACAAATAGAAATACATCTAAAAAAAAAAAAAAACACAGTGGATGTGGTACTTATACATCCCCACAACAAAAGGACACTAAGTACATATCTGAGAGTACTCGCAGTTACTGACAGCTAGTTCAAGCCAATAACAACTAATGAAAAAACATGTATTTGGTGTATGGAATGATTGTTAGGTGTACAAGTCTGTCTTGCAGGTATCATCTGACCTTGACCTCATTTTCATGGTTCATTGGTCAATGTTAAGTTTTTGTGTTTTTGTCTGTTTTTCAAATACTAATAGCAATAGGTCAGCTATATTTGTTGTAAGGAAAGATTGTAAGGTGCACATATCTATCTGGCAGGTATCATCTGACCTTGACCTCATATTTATGGTTCATTGGTCAATGTTAAGTTTTTGTGTTTTGGTCTACTTTTCAATTAGAAAACGCAATAGGTCAGCTATATTTGGTGTATAAAAAATTGTAAGTTGTATATGTCTGTTTAACACAATTTATCTGACCTTGACCTCATTGTCATAGATTTTTAAAAATGTTACGTTTCTGTGATGCTTTTAGTTAAACCTTTATCTTTAAGACTTTCAACATAAAATCAATGGTCAGTAAAGCAGGTGAGACATTTCACCGTGCGCACTCCTGTATTTAAGTTTTTTTTGGGTGTTTAGTAGATTCTATACATTCATACAGTTTTATTGACTGATGAAACCAGAATGCCTTTGATACACTAGTGACCTTCACAATTTGCATTCTATCATTAATTCACAAATTGGCCTGTATCTGTGTTAACAGCAATGGAAAACATGCAGACTTTGGTGAGAATTTTCATAGAAACAGACACTGAAAAAAGTGGGAGGTTTAAATGGAATAGGAATTCCCTAAACGGTCAATTGGAAAAAGGATTTACCTGTATGGTCATTTGAAAAAAGGAATTACCTGTATGGTCAATTAGAATCAAAGTACTGAAGTACTGAACATCGGATGACCGCAAGTTCTTGTGGATGGTCACAAGCACTTGTCTCAAAAAAAAAATCACATCTCTATACCTGAAAGTCAGGTTAAGGTAAATAGATATATTTTTTTTCTGAGACAAGTTAGTGCGTGAATGATGGATAAATGACAGGGAATTCAACCTCACCGTAATAACTATTGTATTGTAGTGATATAATCATTTGTTATCAGTATCAGAGACATATAATATAAATTGTATTATATGTCTCTGTCAGTATACTCTGGTTTGTTGTTATATATTATATTTATATTTGTATAATAGTTATATAAAATTTTCATCCATTTGTATATCATTCTATTCTACTCTTCTAATGATAGTGCAGTGCAAGTGCATGGTGGACACTCTTCTGCAATAATTCGTTTTTCTAATAGATTGGATTTGAGTAGGCATTCATATATATCCGCATTTGTTACAAAACGTTCTTGAGATATTCTTCCGCATGCGTTTACACACATTGTCGGTATTTTTGATTTGTTATTGATATATATATTTCTCACGACAAAACATTTTCATATCACTTATCTATGTTCTTAAAAATTATTTTCATGAATATTTATTGACAAAATTAAAATATAACAAGCGATAAGGAAATGTTATTTTGCACACGATAATATCCGCGTAATTATACGGTTATCAGTCAAAAACGAATGTTACGTGGGTAGAAATGTCTGTGGCAACAATACACCGGAATGCACTCACGGTCATCCGATGTAAAAAGGAACTACCTGTATGGTCAATTGTAAAAAGGAATTCCCTGTGTGGTCAATTGTAAAAAGGAATTTTCCTGTATGGTCAATTGCAAAAAGGAATTTCCTGTATAGCCAATTGGAAATAGGAATTCTAGAGTGTATGGTTTATTGGAAACCACATTTCAATGTTTGTTGTAGTTATTGTTCAAAAGTCTTGGTTTTAAGAATTCTTGAAAATATTTCAATAAGCGAACACCAAAATGTTGTGATGGTTAAAAAAAGCTATTGTTATCAGTTAGTGTATGAACAAAAACAAAACTTGTAATTGTTTAAATTCTTGAGACCGTTAATTGTACATGGAATGATTAATTTTATTTGCTTTCCCAAGATCCAGGCACTAATTGAATGAATATGATTAAACCGAAATGTGTGACAACGAGACAGCAACCCAAAGACAATCGACTAAAAGACATCTAGAGAGCAAATTACAGTTCAGCAATTAACAGGTATCTTTACAATATGTCTAGCTCTAATTCGTACAAAAATGGAAATATATTTAACAGAAAAAAGCTCTGCAATCAACAAACAATTCTCCAAAGAACGAACATTAAGCTATGACACAAAACAACCATTGAGAATGTTTCCGATTTGAGGTGTAACTAGTTTTTGTTATATTTCAACTCTCCCTCTTTTAAAGCCGTGTGGCCTAAGTAGTTCAACTACTGTATCGCTAGCCTGTCGACACTGAGGTTGTGAGTTAGAATCCCGCACGTGACAGGTGTGCCCGACTCCAATTTTAATTGACAAGGATTGTTAGTTTTTCTGCCGAAGGTCGGTGGTTCTCTCCGGGCATTCCGGCTTCCTCCACCAATAAAAATTGACCACCACGAAATAGCAAATAGTGCTGAAAGTGGAGTTTAACACCAATCAATCAATCAATCAATCTTTTAATATCCACAAGATAAACTAGCGATCAGTCAGGGAAAAACAGTCAAACAATATACAACAAAACAATTTGGTGCCAAATAAAAGGTTATTTAAATAATATTTTGCACTACTTGTATAACAAGACTGACCTGTCCTGATATTCAAAATGACTGATGTTTTCGAAGCAAAGAATAAACAGAAACGAAGTTAAAAGGAATTACCAGGATTAGAAGTAAGTTGTGTTGAGACAGTAACCCCAAAACGTAATAAAAACAGACATCATGCAAAGGTAAATATACTGCATTCAACAATTATTATATAGACGAGGAAAGAACAAAAATTTGCTTCCGCAAATTTGCAGATTTAACACTGTTGTGCTGATATTTAGAGTCTTTATGAATATAAAATGTGTTTTCAGCCTAGTATCACCTTCACTGGTGATCCAATGGATGGATCTGTCATAGAGTTGTCACTTGTTTAGACACACTTGTCAAAATAATTATTTCTGTGACTGTATCTTACGATCCTTTACGATAGATATTTAGCTAATCTGCAATCAATTCCATCTTCGTGCCTAATATATCATGTACTGTGTTACAACTCTAGATTCTATTGACGAGGAAAGGTAACACTAGGCCACCGAAAGCTGAAGTATTTAGTTCAGTCTAGGTGGCCGAGTGGTCTAGAGCGCTGGACACAGTGCAGGCGGTGTTGTCTCGATATTCCATTAGCATGAGTTCTAATCCCGGCGAGGGAAGAACAAAAATTTGCTTCCTCAAATTTGCAGATTTAACATTGTTGTGCTGATATTTAGAGTAATTATGAATACAATATGTGTGTTCAGCCGTGTATCACCTTCACTGGTGATCCAATGGATGGATCTGTCGTAGAGTTGTCACTCAGTGTTTAGACGTACTTATATATATATTTATATTACCTCCTATAGATTTCTGGGGGAATATGATTGGTTAAAGGACTACACGTTGTGACTACATATATTTGATATAGGGTGTCCTAAAAAATATGGGGTTAGTAAGGAGTTACTTCCCTTTCAAAAGAAATCTGAAAGGTTTCAAAAGACGAAGCAATTGATAATGAACGATTGAAATAAATTCATAAAACAAATTTAAAGCTGTAACAAGTTGTTATTGTTGGAATTTGTTTTTGTATAGACAAATGGAAGTAGGTTCTTAATACTAAGTATTGAAGACTTAATCACTTTGATCGGCCGCTAGTCTAAATACCACATGTGAAGATAGTCGGTAAGATAAATTCGTTACAAGGTGTGCTAGTGACTTAATACGATGTATATGGGGTCAGTAAGTTCCATATTGGAATTCGATCTTCGCTTACACCCCATATGGAATTTACTGACCCCATATATATCGTATTAGGTCACTATCACACCATGTAACTAATAATATATATACATAATTACTCTAAATATCAGCACAACAATGTTAAATCTGCAAATTTGCGGATATATATGTCGTGTGGTCTAGCGCGTCGGATACAGTGCAGACGATTTGGTGTCACGATATCTCAGTAGCATGAGTTCGAATCCCGGCGAGGGAAGAACCAACAGTTTGCGATAGCAAATTTACAGATCTAACATTGTTGGGCCGATGTTTTGACGAGTTGTATATATATATAAATATAAACGAGTCTAAATTGAAAACAACGTTCAAACCTATGATTGCGTTGGATAAAAACCGCAATTTTTATAAGTGTGCATGTAAAACAAATTTCTTGGTAGAGGGGTCTAAATATAGCACAAACAACATTTTCCAAAAGACCAAAAAAAATGAAAAGTATATTTTAACAAAACGCATTTGACTAACAGGTCGAACAACTGATGTTCTTAAACCCTGCTGACTGCCATTGACGATTGCCAAATAAATTTATCACCAGATGTAACATGGATCTTGTATTTAATTTAATACCAAACGGAAAACAATAAACTAGCGGAAGAGATGGTATACCGCAAACATGAGGTGCAAGAATTTGTACACCATATCCGGATTTCGACAATTAATGTCTCTTCAGTGATGTTAGGGATTGAAACGGTATTTGGAAGGCCATATAATTTACCTCAATTTAGGATAGACTCTTGAATTTTAAAGAGTCGAAATAGGATGAACGGATCATACATGTATAAACCCGAAGGAAAATATAATACAAGCCCAAACGAAAAAATATAAACGAGTCTAAATTGAAAACAACGTTGAAACCTATGATTGCGTTGGATAAAAACATATATATATATATTCATGACAAGTCAGTCTAAATCACACTGAATGTATACACGTTATGAACAAATACCCTAAAGTGACAATTAAATATCGAACGTTCAAACCAAATTCTTAAAAGACAAAAAGCATGGCAACCACTTGCAAGATTCCTAACTTAAGACTTGACTGTTCTGTAAAAGCATAACAGATTGTTGTACTTTCACTATACTCATGAGCATGAACCATGTACAATTAATATAGACCAAACTAACAGAAACATGACAGGACAACTAATATTTGCATAAATGAAAAATACTAGTGCTTCGATCGAATATTTCTAAATATTGCATGGCCCATATAAATACATTATGTAGATTGGTTCTTAGAAAGAATCCTCTTAACTCTGCTTTCAATTCAGATTATATAGTATTGTCATTGCAGGATCATATACTTGTTAGTCTTATATACCCTGAAACACTCAAGGCTTCTCTGCTTAAGCTGGAAACTGGGAACACAACATATTGTTCTGCATCCTACTTTTGGCATATCAACAATTCCCGATTTTTCACCCTCAAAAGTAAGAATACTATAATTTTTGTTTTTAATAAGGAATATAAAAGACAAATAGCTCTTTTTCATATCGGAATGTTTCTGGTTATTTTGATTTTTTATTAGAACAACCTGGGAACATATATATGTTCCTGGAACAACTTACCAACTCAGTCTGGTAAAAGTATGACGACTTTGTATTTTGAACATTAATTAAGTACTTATAAAAGACACAATGGTAAATAAGTTTTAGACATTCTGTTTGTCAGCTTACAAAATTGTATTTGGAAATTGATTATAAGACTATTTTCTACTTTCATTTGTTTTATAGCACCAATTCTCAAGAAAAAACAAGACACAATAAGTAATAATTATCGCATGAGGACAAGGTGTGTCAGTGTAAGATCACTCCGATGGCCGGAGGCCAGAGGGTGATCTAACACTGACACACCAAGTCCGAATGGGATAACTATTTTACAGCCCAGCTCTTTTTAGATTAATAGACGAAAAACCATTTACAATTCATAAAATCTAGTTTAGAACTCCGTAAAACCATTATAATATTCTTTATATGTTACTATATAATATGTACCCTTTATGACCCCTGAACACGATGTTTAAAGATGAAACCATGTCAACTCGCCCCACTGGCCAATCGGCCCACACTAAATCGCCACTTTCAACAAAATCGCACCTCTCTTGTTTACCAACTAACCTAACTTATGAAAAAGGGTAAAATCCAATTGAACAATCAGTCTGACAACTCGCCTTATATATGAAAAGGGTTAAAAACCCACTGAATAAAGGTCTGCCAACTCGCCCCACTTATGAAAACATCTTGCTTTCTTTAAATATGTTAAATTACCGACAGTCGTCCTGGTGTAGGGGGTATGTGTCGTGGGTTGATATGCTAAAGGTCTTGAGTTCGAATCCCAGCATAGACAATGGATTTTTTTCTACATACATTTTGAAAATGTGTCTTTTCTCAATAAACAATTCTAAATTTTATTGTGGATTAGGCATTCCCGCCAAAATGTTTCAAAACAAACGAAAGCATGCAAAACAAAGAAACTCAAGCTGGGGTGATCTGGTAGGGATGATCCGGCTCATATCACCCCTGGTAGAACAAAGGAGCTGGGATGTAATACAAATGATCTTATAACTCTTTATTAAATTCTTTACAAATACATATACAGATATTTCTATATTGGTCAAACTGTTCACTCATTTATATCACAGATAAAAAGATTTAATTTAATTTTTAATATGATTTGATTTGCAGGAATGTAATAAAAAAAACGGTTTTACTGAATATTGTTTTAATTATACATGAAGGGTTTTTTCTGCCGATACTATGGAGTTGAGTTTTTTTTCTGACGTGAATTTATTGCACGTTAGTCGGCAGGTACCTTTTGTTGTCCCACTGATCGAGATTAACTGGGGGAGATTTAAGTGCTACAAAATAAAAGTTTAATTCCGCAACATGTTCATCTACATGTCAAATGTAAAGATCCTCATCGGTAAATTGTTTTTTTGTATGTCAGGGAATATTGTTGGTTATGGTAGATCTTTACAAAAAGTCCCTGTTATTATTCACAAAATTTCTAGATTTACTGCGACGCAAGAGTTTTCCATATAAGGGTCTGGATGGGGTTTACAGAATAGAGAATAATAGGCCAATACTACAGAAAAATGGGGAAAATAAAGAAGAGATTTATGAGGTTCTTTAATATAAAAAATAAGAGAATAATGGAGAGAACATATAAATATTAGAGAAAAATACATAAAAAACTACAGAATACAGAAATGAAGGAAGCCCTATCCAGACACCCCATCCTCCTATTGTATAGACATTTGTCATTTGTTAAAGACCGTATGTTGATCTCTGCGTGTCTTGTTTGTTTTCTTTCGTGTCGTTGGTTTGATGTCTCATTGACGTATATACAACATTCATTATTTATTCATTAATAAGAATTACAGCCAATGCAACGACATCCATATTGAAATGGAATCTCTGAATATCCTTGTAGATATCTGATGCTCGTTTTTACTACATATATATTGACCATGAAGAGGTGGTTAGTAAAAAGATATATATGCAAAAACGCAAATGTTTGAATTCCTGATTCGTCCATTTATGAACTAAGGGCGAAATCTCTATAGTTGAATAATTTTCTTCTTTATTTATTTGGAGTTTGAAAAATAAAAGTTGTTCTTGTGTAGAAGTATATCCTTATCTCAATAATTCAAATCGGATAAAGTTACTGAAAACAAAGGTTTTGTTTGTGCACCTCTTTGTTAAGCCCACAACATTCAATATAGTGAAAATATGTGTATCATTTGGCTTAAAGCTTTTTTTAAAGATCTTATAAAATTTGTATACATAGATCTTTACTGCTTATAATGTTATTTCTGTGTTATTTCTTCTCTAAATCCATTGTATGCTGTAAGCTCATGGTCAACAAGTTTCTCCTTCTTTTTAAAGGCAGAGCAGCAACATTTCCTGACAATCACAACGATAGCAAGAATAACAAATTCTAACAATTCTGATACGGTCAGCAAACTGGCACCAAGAAATATCCCCATCTGGCCACCTAAAATTCCTGTAAAACAATGACAACAATGAGCAAATATCCTACTGTTAAACCATCTGTTGCTACGCTTGCTTATTTCTTTTCCTCGGAAAATTTATTTGCACATTTGCACACGATTGATTCCTGCATTTTGTGTTGGAGAATATTCATTTTTCATCCTGGCTTATGCAAGTCTAATTATTTTCAGCTCTTTCTATGGCCAGGTTATTCATTTCATTCTAATTACATGACTGAGTAAAACAGGAACAGTGGATAAGCACAATGCATACCCATTAGAGTATTAGTACTAACTGTTTGATGATATTTTAATTCAAAATATTCACGAAATATATTGTATGTTAAGTTCAGCATTCTATGTAAACGTGAGGTGTATTTGAGACAATACAAAACAGTATTACAAAAATAAATTTCTCAGTACATCTCAAGTAAAAATCTTGTAGTGAAAAACCAAATCCGCCAATATTGTTTTCATTCCCGAATAAGAGATTGGTATTTACGCTGAGATCATCCCCGGTTTTTGGTGGGGTTCGTGTTGCTCAGTCTTTAGTTTTCTATGTTGTGTTTTGTGCACTGTTGTTTGCCTTTTCGTCGTTTTTCGTTTTTTGCCATGCCATTGTCATTTTGTTATCGACTTACGACCCAGAGTTTGAATATCCATTTGGCATCTTTCGCCTCTCTATTACCCTTCGTATAGAGAAACACAGTGTGATAAAGTGTAGGAGATCGCTCATTTTAGAATAGTTTGATATTTTTGCTTGATATCTTGTACTTATATTGAAAACATTTGGGAGGAAATCGGTTTATTTTATTTGTTATGAATCCAGGACTCATTCACTTTGTCAGCAGGGTTTAAGAACATCCGTTGTTCGACCTGCTAGTCAAATGCGTTTTGTTAAAATATACTTTTTCACTTTTTTTATCTTTTGGAAAATGTTGTTTGTGCTGTATTTAGACCACTCTTCCAAGAAATTTGCAGTTTTTATCCAACGCAATCATAGGTTTGAACGTTGTTTTTAATTTAGACTTGTTTATATTTTTTTGTTTGGGCTTGTATTATATTTGCCTTCGGGTTTATATGATCTGTTCATCCTATTTTGACTCTTCAAAATTCAAGAGTCAATCCCAAATTGAGGTAAATTATATGGCCTTCCAAATACCGTTTCGATTCCTAACATCACTGAAGAGACATTTATTGTCGAAATCCGGATATGGTGTACAAATTTTTGCACCTTATGTTTGCGGTATACCATCTTTTCCGCAAGTTTATTGTTTTCTGTTTGGTATATTATTAATAAATTAAGATCCATTTTTACATCTGGTGATCTGTTTATTTGGCAATCGCCATGGCAGTCAGCAGGGTTTAAGAACATCCGTTGTTCGACCTGCTAGTCAAATGCGTTTTGTTAAAATATACTTTTTCACTTTTTTGGTCTATTGGAAAATGTTGTTTGTGCTGTATTTAGACCACTCTACCAAGAAATTTGTTTTGCATGCACACGTATAAAAATTGCAGTTTTTATCCAACGCAATCATAGGTTTGAACGTTGTTTTCAATTTAGACTTGTATATATATATATATATATATGTAGGACTCGGAGGTGCGATGGGGACGCTGAAGTGCAATGGTCACGCTGAAGTGCGATGGTCACGCTGAAGTGTGATGGTCTACGCCGAAGTGCGATGGTCCGTTCGCTGATGTGCGATGGTCTATATGACGCGTGATAGCTAGTTTAAAATCTACATATGTGCAATTATTATGAGCAGTATAGTTGGTATATAGATAAGCATTCATTATTGTCTATGTATGTCATTTGTTACAGTTGCATACAAAATGAACGATAGTCCTCTTTGATTTTCTGCAAGTGGACATAATTCTGAGATAGCATTTATCTGTACTTTGTTCCTCTCACGAGATCCTCGTTTACCGTTATATTAGAAGAGTTTGCGGACCCGTATGTATTTAGAGAGTGCCACGCTCCATCGTACGTAGCTTGAAAAAAACTCTCGTAGATTTCGAAAAAAAATCCGCTACAGAAGGTTTTCTTTTCCCTCTCCCCCGATCACACCCCATTTCCCGAAGTATTAAAGGTGTATAAGTTTATTTATTTTGTATTTACATTGTATCACAGATCAAATTTATTTGTTCAGTGTATATTCACTGGTGTTAATATGTCTTTTGGTTGAGTTAAGCCATTTCAATTGATATTTTATAGTGTGTCTTTCTATGTTGGGATGTTACACTATTGTTTCAGATACGAGTGAAGGTTTGGTACCATTTAAACGTTTAAACCCGCTGCAATTGTTTGCACCTGTCCTAAGTCAGGAATCTGATGTTCAGTATAGTTGTCGTTGGTTTTGTTTTATAAGTGTTTCTCGTTTCTCGTTTTTTATATAGATTAGACCGTTGGTTTTCCCGTTTGAATGGTTTTACACTAGTAATTTTAGGGGCCCTTTATAGCTTGCTGTTCGGTGTGAGCCAAGGCTCCGTGTTGAAGACCGTACTTTGACCTATAATGGTTTACTTTTATAAATTTTGACTTGGATGGAGAGTTGTCTCATTGGCACTTAGACCACATCTTCTTATATCTATATAAGCCCTTTATTAACTTAAAAACCCGAAAACTGCTTCTAACAAACAAATTGACTTCGAAATGAAAAGCATTGAAAATATAGTTTATGTAGTCCATCGCACTTCAGCGTCACCGCCATCGCACTTCGGCGTAGCTATCAACAAGATAGCGTCACAATGCCACCATCGCACTTCAGCGTGATTAAAAACGCACTTCAGCGTCAAACCATCGCATATCAGCGTGACCATCGCGGTTCGGAGCACCATCGCGGTTCAGAGTCCTACATATATATACAAGTCTAAATTGAAAACAACGTTCAAACCTATGTAGGCGTTGGATACAAACCTCAATTTTTATACGTGTGCATGCAAACCAAATTTCTTGGTAGAGGGGTCTAAATACACTCAGCACAAACAACATTTTCCAAAAGACCAAATGAGTGAAAAAGTATATTTTAACAAAACGCATTTGACTAGCAGGTCGAACAACTGATGTTCTTAAACCCTGCTGACTGCCATTGGCGATTGCCAAATAAACGGATCACAAGATGTAACAAAACAGATCTTATTAAATTATTACCTAACAGAAAACAATAAACTTGCAGAAAAGATGGTATACCGCAAACATGCATGAGGTGCAAAAATTTGTACACCATATCCGGATTTCGACAATTAATGTCTCTTCGGTGATGTTAGGAACCGAAAAGGTATTTGGAAGGCCATATAATTTACCTCAATTTAGGATAGACTCTTGAATTTTGAAAGAGTCAAAATAGGATGAACGGATCATATAAACCCGAAGGCAAATATAATACAAGCCCAAACGAAAAAATATAAACAAGTCTAAATTGAAAACAACGTTCAAACCTATGATTGCGTTGGATAAAAACCGCAATTTTTATACGTGTGCATGCAAACCAAATTTCTTGGTAGAGGGGTCTAAATACAGCACAAACAACATTTTCCAAAAGACCAAATGAGTGAAAAAGTATATTTTAACAAAACGCATTTGACTAGCAGGTCGAACAACTGATGTTCTTAAACTCTGCTGACTGCCATTGGCGATTGCCAAATAAACGGATCACAAGATGTAACAAAACAGATCTTATTAAATTATTACCAAACAGAAAACAATAAACTTGCGGAAAAGATGGTATACCGCAAACATGCATGAGGTGCAAAAATTTGTACACCATATCCGGATTTCGACAATTAATGTCTCTTCAGTGATGTTAGGAATCGAAAAGGTATTTGGAAGGCCATATAATTTACCTCAATTTAGGATAGACTCTTGAATTTTGAAAGAGTCAAAATAGGATGAACGGATCATATAAACCCGAAGGCAAATATAATACAAGCCCAAACGAAAAAATATAAACAAGTCTAAATTGAAAACAACGTTCAAACCTATGATTGCGTTGGATAAAAACCTCAATTTTTTTACGTGTGCATGCAAACCAAATTTCTTGGTAGAGGGGTCTAAATACAGCACAAACAACATTTTCCAAAAGACCAAATGAGTGAAAAAGTATATTTTAACAAAACGCATTTGACTAGCAGGCCGAACAACTGATGTTCTTAAACCCTGCTGACTGCCATTGGCGATTGCCAAATAAACGGATCACAAGATGTAACAAAACAGATCTTATTAAATTATTACCAAACAGAAAACAATGAACTTGCGGTAAAGATGGTATACCGCAAACATGCATGAGGTGCAAACATTTGTACACCATATCCGGATTTCGACAATTAATGTCTCTTCAGTGATGTTAGGAATCGAAAAGGTATTTGGAAGGCCATATATTTACCTCAATTTAGGATAGACTCTTGAATTTTGAAAGAGTCAAAATAGGATGAACGGATCATATAAACCCGAAGGCAAATATAATACAAGCCCAAACGAAAAAATATAAACAAGTCTAAATTGAAAACAACGTTCAAACCTATGATTGCGTTGGATAAAAACCGCAATTTTTATACGTGTGCATGCAAACCAAATTTCTTGGTAGAGGGGTCTAAATACAGCACAAACAACATTTTCCAAAAGACCAAATGAGTGAAAAAGTATATTTTAACAAAACGCATTTGACTAGCAGGTCGAACAACTGATGTTCTTAAACCCTGCTGACTGCCATTGGCGATTGCCAAATAAACGGATCACAAGATGTAACAAAACAGATCTTATTAAATTATTATCAAACAGAAAACAATAAACTTGCGGTAAAGATGGTATACCGCAAACATGCATGAGGTGCAAAAATTTGTACACCATATCCGGATTTCGACAATTAATGTCTCTTCAGTGATGTTAGGAATCGAAAAGGTATTTGGAAGGCCATATAATTTACCTCAATTTAGGATAGACTCTTGAATTTTGAAAGAGTCAAAATAGGATGAACGGAAAATATGATTGCGTTGGATAAAAACCGCAATTTTTATACGTGTGCATGCAAACTAAATTTCTCTCTCTCTCTCTCTCTATATATATATATATATAAGTCTATTGATATGATTCATTTTACATCATAATCATACCGATGAAGGATATATGTTAGCCGAAATATTTATAGATACTTACATTTAATGTTTCCTTTTTTTGTAATATTGGTGTTGTTTTGTACACTTTTTAGGCGTTTATATATATATATAGAATATACATATCTACACACTATTTTTGAAGCCCTTCTATTTGCTATCGGAATATTGTAAAGGGGGTAAGTAGAACATATATCCTCACTGCCTCTTTCTATGAAACGCTGAGTAATTAAAGATAATCAAGTTTGAACGATGTCTCCCTATTTTAACTCTATACCAAGATATTTTTAAAGAATATGTTGGCCTTGCATCTCTGAGGAGATATCAATGGTCAAATGCGCATCTGCTGCAGTAAAAGTTGAATCCATAATGTTATTACTACCATTGGGTAGATACCACTGCTAGTTGACTGTTAGTCCCCGAAAAATACATAACAAAAAACCACCCAATTTTGTTTTATATTCAGTAGGATTTTTTAATCAACCATATAAAAACGATTGTCTATAAGTCAAATCCTGTAAGTCATTTCGACTTACTTTTGAATGATTATATTACAGAAATAACTAATTAAAATGACCAATCATACCATTGATAAAAACATTGTAATGGTAAAAACCATGTGACATTTATTTTGCATTGTCCGTTATTATTTTCATAAAGAAGTACTTATATATTTGGAGTTAAGTAACAGTTGATGTCAAGATAAGATACATTCTCTAAGAGCTTCCTTGTCTTTATCAAGACAGTATCTGAAAAAGTGTTAGTAAAAAGAAATCAGTGACTTAACTAAGAGGATCAGAAAGTTATCTGGTGTGATACTCTTAGAAAATCATAATCTTCTTAATGCTTTAGAAAGATTTTATCCAAAAAGCAAGCATTAATACCAAAGTTCATAAACTATTATTTTCAATGATGGATCTATTTCACAGACTCATAAAGAATAATATATGCTGTTAATGGACATTGATTTGCATGATTGATTTGGGTGTATTTCTATACTCACCCACTATATCCTCCGTGTTGTACTCTGGGATAGACTCCACAAACAAATAACTTAGCGAATCGTAATATAATCTTGCCTCCAAGATTGTGTTCCTGCAAAGGTATTATGATCCATTATAATCTGAATTATTTCTTAAAATCCAACTAATATCATAAAATTCTTATGTGTTTTCTCAATTAATCAAGCGATGCACACTGTTCTTCGTGCAACAGAAATCAATACGCAAACAAACACCTTTCGTTCTCAAGATGAGTCGACAGACTAGACCGTGACCAGAGTACGCATCAGTTCAAACTAAGACTAATAGACAAATAACATGCATATGAGTCCGAGAATCACATCCGAAAAATGCCCCCCCCCCCCCTCCCCCCAAACGCAAAACATAAGTTTTTGTTGACTCAAATTACAGCCTATATAAAATATGGGTTGATACAGTTGTTAGTGACTGAATATGTTAATAGCTATTCCTTTATCATTTCTGATATCTTAATTTTCATAGTATACTGTTTTAACAAACTTTTTCTTCTTCTGAACGATGTACATTTAATCCCAAATAAACTTTTCAAACTTTATCCGACCTATATTGCATAAATGTAACTAAATATAATCTGAATTATTTCTTAAAATCCAACTAATATCAAAACATTTTTATGTGTTTTCTCAATTGATCAAGCGATGCACACTGTTGTTCGTGTAACATAAATCAATACGCAAACACATCGATAAATATTATCGATAAATATTTATACATATGGCTTCATTTGCAAGAAACTAGACACTACGTGTGCTAAATGCAATAACAAAGCTTACTTGATGTCTGTATATCCTATTTGCTGAAGTGGCGGGTAATACACGTCTGCTGGAAACAGTGCTGTCGAAATTGACTGGTCAAAGGTCGTAAACTCGCATGATATCTGACATTCACATTGCTCTTTCAGTTCTCCACTTGAATCAAACTCAACTGTAGTAATGTACAATCATTTATTAAAGAAGAATAAATATAGAACATTATAAGAGAAAAAGACATTCATTTACAAGATAAAACTGATGTTAATTTGGTGCACCAATTTCGCTTTCCTAAATCTGAATACCAATAAAGCCTATATGATATAAAAAGGAAGCCAAAACAAGCTTATGTACAACCGTACTTGGAAAAGATTACTTTATTATTTAGGAAATTATACTAAAAACTTCCCAAGTATTAAATTAAAAGAAACATCATGCTAGTATATTGATTGAATATATTCCACTAAACGTGCATTGAAGGATACTACGAACATAGTTTGGTCTGCCTAATAACTTCACTTATACCTAAAATTAATCAGTTAGGGAATGTTGGCGTAGTAAAACCTAAGTAATTCGAATAACTTCCACTAGCAATGGCATCGGCTAGTGGAAAATCAAATCCCGCCTTCCTTCAGTGTTCGTTACTTTCACATAATTCAACCTACTACAAGATTTTTACTTGAGATGGATTGAGTTATGTATCTTTGTTAAACTGTTTTGTATTGTTTTTGGGTTTTATTCAGTAGGATTTTTTTAATAAAACATCTACCAAATATCTTTTATATATCAAATCCTGTAAGTCAGTTCGACTTTCTTTTCAAAGATAACATTACAGAAATAACTAATTAAAATGATCAATCACCATTGATAAAAACATATTTTATGGTAAAAACCACTTGACAGCATTGTTTTCTGTATATTTTTGTTTTTGTTTTTCGCCCTTTTTATACGCCCGTTTATGGGACGTATTATGGTATAACGTTGTTCGTCCGTCTGTTCGTCCGTCCGTCTGTCCATCCGTCTGATCGTCCGTCCGTCCGTCCGTCCGTCTGTCTGTCCGTCCGTCCGTCGTCAACATGTCGGACAATAACTCAAAAACGCTTTAACCAATTTGCATGAAACTTTGGTGAATTGTTTATATCTATTGACGTGAGCTCCCTTTCGATTTTAATAAATTTTAGATTTTACGTTTCCGAGTTATGGGGTTTTATTCATTTAAAAAGGGGGATTTCCAGTTTTCGGACAATTACTCAAAAACACTTTCACCAATTTGCAAGAAACTTTGGTGAATTGTTTATATCTATTGACATGAGCTACCTTTCAATTTTTATAAATTTCAGATTTTAAGTTTCCGAGTTATAGGGTTTTATGCATTAAAAAGGGGGAATTTTCCAGTTTTCGGACAATAACTCAAAAATGCTTTGAGCAGTTTTCCTGAAACTTTGGTGAATTGTTTATATATATTGACGTAAGTTCCCTTTTGATTTTTAGAAATTTTAGATTTTACGTTTCCGAGTTATGGGATTTTATTCATAAAAAGGGGTGATTTTCCAGTTTTCGGACAATATCTTTAAAGTGCTTTGAGGAGTTTTGATGAAACTTTGGTGACTGGTTTATATCTATTAAAATAACCTCTCTTTAGTTTTTTTTTTATAAATTTCTGATATGACATTGAGAAGTTATTGAACTTTATTCTTTGAAAAAGCGACGGGCGTATCATGCGCTCATAGCGCAGCTGTTTATTTATTTTGCCGTTGTTTATTTGCGAATATGATTGCCCCCTTTGATGTATCATCGATATACATAAACCAGCAAAGGAAATCAAAACCATCTACGGAACACTGGTTTATGCAGGATAACCTTTAAATAATTTTACATCGCGTTTTTTCGGGAGATTTAAATAACAAAAATCTTATCGTAAGTTATTTCATTACCGGTAATACCATCAGGGACTTGAAATCGACCAAGTGAAATAAGGGAATATCAAAAATCATTTTGGCAGCAAAGACGAGGAAAAAGAGGGTATACAAAACAATTCCGTTTAAAATCTAAAGACTTTTAAAGGAAAGTAATTGAAAAATATGTCGCATTTTGAAAGACAGGATATTTCAATATTTGTTAATATAATCACACATAATTTATGTATTTCTTAGCAAAACAAAAATATTTGAAAAATCGTGATCTGATATTGAACCTACCTTCATGCTGGTAATAGCATGTTGCTGTTTGGGATGGTGTGCAAAGTGTCTCATTTCCTAAATTATATATAAGAACAATTGTTAAAAATCATGTTAAACTTAACGATACCAATTGAATACTTCAGTGGTTTTTTTATATCAGCATTTTACAGACTGCAAAATTGTTTGAAACCTAAATACATACAAATGTTTTGGACATGAAAAAAACAAACAACTCCCAATTTTCTTTTAATTAGAAAAGATCAAATATTTAATTACGTAAAATAATTTCATATTAACATAACATATTTGAAAGCAATTTACATGCTTAGAATTACTAGTAAATAAGAAATAATTCTAAGTAACCAAAAGGCTGGAAAAGCTTAAATTGAAAATTTAATAAACCAAATAGTCCCTTAAACGAATACGCAAACTTATTTCAAAATCAAATGCCTGATACACCGACAAAATTTACAAATTCAACAAATATAAATAATAGATGAATAGGTAATTTAAAGTTATGAAATCAATATTTCTAAAGTTGTCGCTTGCAGTAATTCTATATTCGAAAGGGAAAGCTGACAGAATCGTTTAAGAGATGATTGGACAGATATGATCTTCGTACTTTAAGCGTAACTTGCCTGGATCAGTAACCGCTCTGCATCCACATTTCTCTACAATATAGTTCCTACGACACTCCAACAGGCATCCAGCCCGACTGTAGTATGGGTAATACTTCAAGGTATTTACATAATCAGCAGAGCGGACATCCACACAATACTGATCACCTCCAGCCTTGTACGGGGCAGGCAAATATTTGTACTGCAATATTATAGAACCATCAAACATTTAACATGGTAATAGATTTAAAATAATCATATCATTTTTTATCAGACTTTGGAATCTACTGGGTCACTGGGTACTACATATTCTAATTTTATTGGATGCCATACAAGACCAATGTTATACACACGCTTGTACACATACTCCAACATAATCCTAAAACATTTGCGAAATAATTTTGCACAAGGTTTCACGGAAACACCATGTAATACCGACTAAATTAAACAATGAATGATAACAGCACTTTTTAAAATCTAAATTAGTTATCATATGACTGGTAATTACACAGCCATACAATATAATAAAAAAAAATGACGTATTATTGAAAGCGTACCAATATGCATACTAGTACTATACTGCCAAACAATAGTCTTTTATAGTTCTATTAACTTCGGTTTTAATTTATGAAGAAAGTGATCAACAATCATGACATAATCAACATCCAAACATGGATGTGAAAACAATCTCAATAACACGAATACACTACTGAGTGAGGCCAGGGTTGTCAATAGGGTAGGTATCTCATACAATGGGTCTAGCACTTGTCATCAATCAGCACATAGACAACAGACATCATGAATGTGAAAACAATCTAAGTAGCATTAACACCCCATTGAGTGAGACCAGTGTTGTCGACAGAGTCGGTATGTCGTACAATTGGTTCATTTCTTGTCATTCGATTAATAATCGAAAAGAATTGTTTTGCTGCGGTTAGTTAATCACTGAGATAATGCAAAAAGGCGGAAGATAAAAAGTGGAAATTCAAAACTCAAGGGTCAAAGAGAAACTGACAACATCATTGCAAAAACACAATGAAAAAGACGAAATCCAAACTGGCATTGTTCTGTTATGTGTTGTGTTATTTTTGTTTTTCATTCAGTAGGAATTTTTTGATAAACCATCTAATAAAGGCAACAGTAGTATAAAAGCGATCTTCTATAAATCGAATTCTGTAAGTCAGTTCGACCTTCTTTCCAATGATATTAATATAACAGATATGACTAATCAAAATGATCAATCATACCATTGATAAACACATATTAATGGTAAAAACCATGTGACATTTATTTTTATGGTCCGTTATTATTTTCATATAGTAGTACTTATATATTTGGATGTCATGATCAGATACATTTTGTAAGAGCTTCCTCGTCTTTATCACGACAGTATTTGCAAGAGTTTGGTGAAAAGAAATCAGTGACTTAACGAAGAGGATCAGAAATAAAATACAGAACACCAAGGTTAATTAAACTTGTTTCCCTTTATGTGATTTAATTATAACATATATTCTATAAACAATACTCTAGCATGGATATGAGGAAGAACGTCTGAAATTATCACTCAAACTTCTACAATCGCAATCACGGATCAGTAAATCGTAGCACTACAGTATCTCTGTTTTCAAACTCATTAATGACAATTTGACCCTGTCATAGATCAAATATATCCATTATGGTAATCTGACATTAATACCTATTTTTGATCTTCACGACATTTCTACCTCATACTGGATTTGTGAATCATATGACGGGCGATACATGAAGAGCAGGAGAAGTTTAACCTAATGACGCATCAAGTGTCAATCAGTTTGGACTTTTTCTCCTTCCAACAACAGAACGATACGACGTGTTTGTGTCTTAACTCTATAGCGATATCTCTTCGCGGTCATAGATCTTTAGATACCGGAATAGTCGTTGGATCTGTGAATTTATCGAATGTGTCCTATTCCGATTATGACATTTTGACTGAGCATAATTTCAACTTACAAATAGACAAAGTTTTGAAAATCAGTAAACTACTGTGGCCTTAATGTCCAAGACTAAAATATTAATCAAACCACTTACAACGGATTTGGTGTTCACCAGGATGGGAAAGATATTGCATTATGCAATGCTAACATATAATTATCGACATGATGTAGGACTATAAGTCATAAGATCGTTATTGTAATATAAGTTTAGTTATGTATTAAACTGGTCTTGTTATGTTTTAAAATATACACTAGTTATGTATAAAACTGTTCTAGTTATGTTTTAAACTATTGTAGTTATGTTTTAATCTATTCTAATTATTTTGTAAACTGTTCTAGTTATGTTTTAAACTATTTTAGTATTTAAACTATTCTAGTTATGCATTAAACTGTTTTAGTTATGTTTTAAATATTCGAGTTATCTATTAAACTATTCTAGTTATGTATTTAACTATTTAAAAAAAAACGTAGTATCGAGCAGTTTTTGTGTACTGCAACCTGATTAGGTATACACTATGTACATTTCCCCAAAACTAATATTTTGTTACCGATGAAAACATCAATAAATACTGCGTTTACCTTAGTCATTTTCATAGAGACATAGGTCGACATTCCTGGTGATAAAATAAAACCTTTGTTGTTAACGTCTGGTTCTTCTTCAGGATCATGTAGGACGATCTAAAACAAATTTTAAATTATTAATCATATTTTAAAGGCAAAGGGAAGGAAAACCCTTTCGTGTGTAAAACCACAATTGTTCTATTTACAAAGAAATATAGCAAAAAGGGACATTCAAACGCGTAAGTCGAAAATAAACTGACAATGCCTTGGCAAAACGAAAAACGATCAAAAGACAAACAACAATACACGAAACTCAAAATAGAAAACTAAGCACTGAGCAAATTGAACCCCACAAAAAACCGGGGGGGGGGGGGGGGGGGGGGGGGTGAAATCATGTGCTGCAGAAGGGTAAGCACATCTTGCTACAAGTGTGACACCCATCGTGCTACTCTGCTATAAAATACGTTGATTAGTTATGTCAAGTTATTAGATATCACGCAAAAGTAATTGACTCTTAACTAACCCTAAGACAGAAACAAATTCGTCAACCATCGGTCATGTAAATTTTCTAACCACGAAACAGAATGTGACATTTTGAAACTAGAACACGTTTTTCACGACAAACAATAAGTATTCTTATTCTATAATTTCTTCTATTTTGGATAATATGGATCTTTTGTAATAGCTTTTGCATTTTAACATTATATTTTCTCCGGATTTTAGATTAGAAATATGTAAGGAACAGATAAGAAGCCATTGAATATTGAACAACCTTGAGGATTTCACAAATAATGACAACACATAATTTAGATTGGACCACAGCCTTCTGGATATGGACAATAAATAAAGAATGTGGTGGGGTAAAACATGTTTATGATCGCTCAATTTGGTATCGGGTAGGTTCGCCCTGATTACATGGTTGCTCTGGGTCTGTTTGCCCTGAGTTCGTTCGCCCATTGAGTCCTTTCGCTCTGGGTTCGTTCTCCCTACTTGTAGTAAAAAATATTAATATCAGAGACTTATATGTCTCTGATGATATTAAGGGTATTCAGGTTTAGTAAACTTATTCATATATTTATATAGTATAAATTCTCGAAATTTATGAAAACACATGTAGATATTTAAAAGTTGATGGCTTTTTTTGGGGCATTAATTGTTCATAATAATAATTCTCACTGATTGCTGTAATAACTATCTTTGATGGATTAATAATAAAAACAACACTTTGTTTTGATAAACTAGTCAGCTTGGAATGAGTAAAAACAATTGTGTACGAATTGTAAAACATGAAAAGGATTTATAAGTTCATTTAAAGTAAAAACAATGATGTACGAATTGTAAAACATGAAAGGAAATTTATAAGTTCATTTATTATTATACTGCATAAATTGACTGACTAGAATTATTAATATGTTAACAAATATCAATAAAGATAAATACATTGTATTCCAGTATTAAACTATGCAAATCAAAGGAAAATAATTCAAATAATAAACAGATAACAGACCCGGATTCATCCCTCCCATAACAATGAACAGTAGCAAAACATAAGAACTACATGTAAAAGTCAGTTGAAAAAGACTTGACTCATCAGATCAGTACTAAGTACGCAAACTAACATAAAGAAAAACGACATAAAGTTTTGATCCAAGAGTACCTACAGTTACTGAAAGCTGGGTTAGTAGTCAGCATTTTTGTGTTAACCCGAAATATCATCGGTATTTTCATTTTCTGTAAATAACTGCTTGTATAATTTGTAAATTATTCGAAACACTAAAATGTTTTTTACCCCTGGGCATAGACTTTTTTTGTCGGTTTTGTCAAAACTTTTGAGATTTTAAGTTTTGATGTCCTTCATCTTCGTATTTGATGTGGACTTCCAAATAATTTGATTCAAGCGCCACTGATGAGTCTTATGTACACGAAACGCGCGTCTGGGGTACCAAATTATAAGCCTGGTATCTGTGATGAGTGTTTAAAACTGCCGAAACAGAGAAACGATGAAGAACGAATGAAATCGACACGACATAAGTTTCGAATTAATTGAATGATACGATGTGTCTATTTCGCAACTCACTAGATACATATTTTTGCGGTCTTACATTTTTGCACACAGGAAAAGTCGTTTTATCTGTAATTTTAGCGATTATGTCCGATTCTGTATTTTGACATTTTGATTAATTGTGGATTCACATGGCGGGTAATGTATGCAAAGCAGGAGACGCTTACCCTGTCGACGTACCCAGTCCCGCTCCTTTCGGAGTTTAAGGAATTCCCTTAGTTTTTTTGTCTTAACTTGTATCTTCTTAATCGATTGATGAGGTTTGAACATTGGTTAATAACCGTTGCTTTAATTTCAAACTCAATTAAGCGGACAAAGAAAACATGGCTTCATGCAATTCTATAAATATCAAATCAGGAATACAGCAATTGTGGTCTGTCGGAATGATTTTGTTTCATAATAGGGCATAGGAGGTATAACATGTAACTTTGATGTTCGAAAACAATAATGTTATTTTACACATAATGGGTATGTAAAACTCATAATCATTGAGACAAACAATAATCTAGTATTTTCCAATGACAGTAATCAGTGAATTGCATTTGAACAACACCATCATATTTATCATACATTTCTATGGTTAGCCCTAACAAAAGTCTCGCATCAAATTACAGTTTTCATTGGACGAGAAGATTGAGTGATTTAGAAAAACGTAATTTTGAAATTAATACTTTGAAAAAGCCCGTTATACCTAGTACTGTAATAACTTTTCGTTTCAATTTTGTCTTAATATTAGGGCCAATGATACAAAGCAAAATTTACTGTTTTGATGTATTGCCTTTGTGTATATTGTACCAGAACGCATTTTAACATGATAAATGTATATTCATTTAAAAAAATACACAACCACACTATGCTTTGAAATTATATGCTTCTTCCACTTATACTGTATAAACTGTGAAATATTAAATATCGTTTGAGGATAAATAATTAACAAAATTATGGACTTATTTGATGATCTATTGAAAGTTATTTCTACAAAGTAAATAATTAATGAAGTTCTAACGAGTATTTTATTACTTAATTGGACAAGTTCACATAATCTAAACAATGCTGATTTCATATCATATCATAAATCAATGTTTCGATGTTATTTGGAAATTCGTGTTTAAAAAATCTTTAAAAGTCTCGGAAAGCAATTAAAGTAATGTATACTGGTAGCGTAAATATCTAGCAACCAATGTTTCTAAACAGTTGAAACTTGTAGTCTTGCACTCCATAAAATTGTCTATAAAATTGAACCTAATACATAACGAATTTATAGAAAGTTCACAAACTAAGTGTTTAAACCAATCTATGAAACCATTCAATAAAACAATGATATTTAAGATAGAATGTTATTGTAACACCACAGCAATTGAACACTGGTTATCTTCACACTACTTCACATACTTATGAGCACATCCACCAACCCGCACTGAGATTTCCATTTTCTTTGAAATACTTTAGTTCAATGTATGTTTTGTCCCTAATATTTTGATAAAAATTTCCGACCTCTTTCTTTATGTAATGGAGTTAAGAAAGACAAGACTGAAAACAAAATTAACCAAGAATTATTCTTTTTTACAATTTCAATTACAGTGAAAACGCAAAATATCATTGTGTAAAGTTTGAAGGGTATTTTTGCCAAAAACTGTCAAATTTACGGTTTTGAGCTCTCTTCCGGCATTTCGAATACGATGATTTGTTTAGAAATAAGTTATAATATTGTTGTAATCTCAAAGTACAAACATGGTGTCATTATGCTGTGAAATTAAGTAAAGAATGACAGACTTTTTGAGAATTGACCAAACGAATGACAACTGTGATATAACTTGCTTGGCACATATACCAACAAATGTTTTACTTGGTTAAACAAAATTTAATCTTACTTCTTTAGACCATTAGTTGGTAGATCAGAACCAACCAGTTAAAAATATACAATACAAAACTAAAAACACTCGAACCGTCGACTTAGAAAGGTAAATCAAAGTTATCTTAGTGACCGATAAGAAGTAAATATACTTTCCAGAAAAAATATTCAAGCTTATAGCATTTGCAAGTACAAACTAGACAGCATGAGAAAAAAAAAGCAACAATGAATTTACTAATAAAGACCTACAGTACTTACTTTCACCCCAGCAGCCAGATTTGTATTGAAGACATACTCATCCTGTTTCACATCTATATAGAAAGTTAAAGCCGTTGTTGATCCAGTCATGCTACCCTTTACTATTCCATTCGTAGCAACTTTCTGATAATTATTAAATGTGAAACATTTACCCCACTGTGTTATTTTAGGAATTAATATGTCTTTACATGGAACAAGGTGTCGTTCATTTACACAGTAATGGAACATATCCTCTAAATCAAAAGATGATTTGTTCAACCAGTCTTCAGACACAGGATCATTCAACTCAGCGAATGCAGGCGATGAGTAGTTAAGGTGTGGTAATACAACTCCGAGACGACTGCTGTGTAACAAATGTGTTGTCATTACCGCACTAGCGTTAATAGAAGATCTTTTAAGTGGTGACATGTTACATATTGTAACGGCAGGATAATGCATGGCCTTCACGAATTTAATATTTATGTTGGTCAGTGTAGGATTGGTTCTGTAGTATACATACAATGTATACACAGTGTATATAAGAAGTGACCCCATACCTATCAAGGCAAATATCCATATCACCCTGTAAATGTAAATGCGTGGTCTTTAGCAAAAAAAATCATCATATTGAATTCGTCAATTAAATATTTCAAATGCAAAATACCGTAATTTGGCGAAAAAAAAAAAAAAAAAAAACAATAAAAAAAACCCCAATAAAACGCTAAAAAATAAACAGATTTAACCACGAAATTCTAGTACGTGATTAAAGAAACTGAAAAGTGGTAAAATTTGATATTACTGTTTTATGCATGACGGGTGATGAATTCATAGCAGAAGATACTTTCCCTGTCGTCGACTCACCAGGTCTGGCTTTCTTTTGAGGTCATTCGATTTTCTCAGTTTCTGTTTGCTACCTTGATTATTTGTCTCTTCCTTCGCGATTTTTGAGATTTGATTAATTTTTTGAGATTTTGATGTCAATACCAAACGGTACTGTAAATTCCTGCAATAAGTTATCAGAATATTTTAGAAGTCTATTCAAATTGTTATACTAGTACATTTGAAGAGGATAAAAGTAGTTTGGTTAATAAGGAAAACTTACCATCTAAGTTGATATTTACTCTCTTTCCTTGCATGTCTTAGACCATGCATAGTAGTAGTTTCTCTAAACTCCTTCCATAATGTCTGCATGCTGATAATGCTTTCTGATGTCTTTGAAAAGTCTTTCTCCGGACATTTTATATCATCAAGTGTTGTTTCAGTTTGTAATTGTTTCAAATCTATTTTTTCCTTTTGTGTCGCTTCATTATTTGAATTTGTATAATTTCGGAAATCTGTAATGGTATTTTTACCAAACGCAGGACGAACCTTAACGAACGGCATGCCTGCAGATTTTAAATAACATAAATAATTTGATTTTGATCGTTTTATACTGGAATTTGACAGATTGATTTTTACCTATTTACATCAATTGTAATGTCATATTCTAAACTACATCATTAAAGCTGTAGAAACATTAATATAAATTCATTATCTTATCGATAATCACAAGGTCACCAGCAAGATTATCATGTGCTTATCCTAGCAAACAAAACTTTGAGTCTTATCTTCGTAAACAATGATAGCTCATGGCAAATTGAAATCTTCATTTAATAAACGTTTTATGTGAAGTTGAATAAATCACTGTCTACTGTCGAAGACTTATGCTCAATTGATTGATTGATTGATTGATTGTTGGTTGCTTAACGTCCAGTTGTGCACAATTGACGCCATGCCTGACTCATACTATCGATACTAAGGACAACAAACGAAATTTAGATAACATAAATTATTGATCTAAGAGAAAAAATTACTGCATGGTAGTAATAAATTGATTGTGTTATACCAGTATGAAATGTTATTCAGTAAATCTACAACGGATTTAGTAAAAAGATATCATAGGTAATCTGTAAAAGCATTACCTTTCCGCTCGTGACCACAATCGTATTGCTTATGACAAACATGATACTATGATATGTTGCATAAGTATTTAATGCCTCGTTCACACGTACATTTAATTCGAATTAAATTCGAATCGAATGCGAATTGAATTCGCTAATCGCGTTCACACGCTCTTCTTTTTTTAATTCGAATTGATTCGAATTGGCCAAATCGCATTATCCAATTCGCATTAGAAATGCGTTTTTGTTAATACGAATTAAAAGTTAACGTCGTTAGGACAGTAAAGCGAATTTGACACGCATTGCAATTCGAATTAGAATTTACTTTCGGACGTTAAACGTTTCGAATGCGAATTAAACTAATTCGAATTAGTTGATGCGAATCGAATTTGAATTACGTGTGAACGCAGCATTAATATATATGACAGATTATTCATAACGGTAAACGAAGTCTGATAACTGATCACTATCTTTATTTGGTTTACAAAAAGACGATAAAACATGGTCATAATATTTCAGTTTAGCTTTTCGATACCTTTTAACTAAGGTTTCTACTCTCTCAGTCAAAGTTAACTTGAGGGTACTTTATAGTAGTAAACATTTTATCATCGGCTGTGATGTATTGCTGGCCAGTAGTAACTATTTCTGCATTGGCCATGATTAAATGCGTACATTTCATGATTATCCTATTATATTTTTAAACTAAGTTTACAAATTTTTCAGAACAACTGTTTCATCACCTCTTTTTTTATCCTAGTACGGGTCTCGATGTGTTTATACATCTAATACTTTTACAACTGTTATCTACTTCTGCTTCTTTTGAATAACGTTTCGAGATGATAGGCAAAATGGACTACACAAAAAGTGAGAAGACACAAAGGAAAAACTCAAAAACAATTAGTCAAATAAAAACTGACTATATCATGACCAAAAGAAAAAACGACAAAAAGTCATGAGACAATACCAAAAGACAGAAAACTCAAGATTAAGCAACACGAATCCCATTAATAAACTAAGACGAACGCAATTGTCGAGCAGTTCCTGTGGCACCCATCGTGTTGCCCTTGTAATAAAAATCCATTGATCCACAATCTGCTTTGATTTATTGATTGATTGTTGTTTGCTTTACATCCAGTGGCAAATATTTCATGCATATTCAGGAAGAGAACAAGTTAACAAAAACATATAATAGGTAGGTCCTGTAATAGGGTCCATCCGGGATAAATGGCGATAATTTGGACTGCCACTTGAAAATGTGGGTATATTGGATAGTGACTGAAATTTCGCCTTGCAACAGGCGAACTAAGATTAACGTGCAGGTAGCGTGTCACTCACTCTACACTATAGGCATCAGATTTAACGTCTCCATTTTGACAGGAGGTGGGTGGGTATTTATACATCCCACACAACCAAACCGACGTCCAATTTAGCAAAGGTTTTACTGACGGTCAATTGACCATACTTCTATTACAGGTCATTCTTGTAGTTTTACAATCAGGAATTCCTGCTTCTAGTATTTATTGTCAAATTTTACTTAGGTAACTTCCTCTGCTTTGAACTTGTATGTTACTTCTAATAACTGAACTTTTACACGAAACGCCATGTTCATTAAAAATAATCTGTATAAATTCTTGTGCGTCCATTTCATGAATATCCATGACGTTAACCGAATTAACTGACAAATAAATATCTAAAAATATGATTTTGAAAACCCAACAAGACTTAACATTGTACCATTTCTACCCACGTTTTGATGAATATAGCCACTTCAGTCTGAAATTCTTTATAATATAATGTATTAGTGGCATATCTTATGAAGGCTTTGGAAATTAATGATTTAAAGAACATTTACACACAAATGCATTTTACACTCTTTGTGTGAATCTGCATGCATGCAAATCTCAATCTCCTTTAAACAATATTATGAAAAAATAACAATTGTACGCAGTTCGAATATGTGTGAATTTATTACATCATACTTTTTGTTTCGTAAAAATAGTCTGTTTGATTTTACATATACTATGAATATTAAACATAAATGATAAATGAATTTATGCTATTGTTTTATCTGATTTGTTTAATTTATGTTTCAAGCCTTATCGATACAGACAAGATAATGGTGTGTTTTATCGTTGTAATGAAATTAACTTTTAACGGATAACGTGTATGCATGTTTATTTTGTTGACCAGACGTGTTGTCCAGTGTTTTTATCACAATTTTCGTGATAAAAATTAATTGGTCCGAACCGTTTAGATATGTGAATTATGTTTAATGAAATAAAAAAATTAGTACAAATTGCTTATAGCAATTTAAAAATTACTAAACATGAAATGTTTACAACATCGTCATTAAATCCTTTAATGCAAATTGTTATAATGAAGTATCGAATTCCACTACTTAGCATGGAATAGAGTGTGATTACCCCTATAATGTATTAAATAAAAATATTCATCGCTATAATGTACGAATGAACGAAACATAAAACAACAAAACCAACTAGAATATTTAATTTACTTTATGCTGTTTCAATCAGACTTCAATTCTAGTTTATTTTATACAATGCATGCAATTCCATATGTATCAGATCTGACTGTGCCGATTTAATTACATAATAAATGTCAATCAATGTGTAAATGTATCATATAGAATATCATATCGACCAAACGGATTAAATGTAAAAGTCGCATGCATTTTGCTTGTAACATTTTTGAACAGAAATTAATATGAATTATTCGGACTAGTACATTTCGTGTTGAATTATGTATACCTGTTTTTTGTTTAATTGTAATTTTTCGAGTTCGATTTATTTTTGAAGTCTGTTCTTATTTGAAGTAGAAATTACATGCAAATATACAAACTCATCAATGATATCAGATTTATGGTTTAATACACAAGACGCGCGTTGAGCTTATCTAGTGGCGCTAGAATAAAAATAGTTCGATCAATTAAAAAAAAATGAAGAGCATTGGAAACAAAAGATTCCAAAAAGATGTACAAAATATGACTAATGCCAGCTATGTCTACGGGTCAAAATCCTAAATGTTTTGAGTGATTATAGTGTTATAGAAGCAGTTGATTTGCATACAAAGACTTCAGGACTTAACGGGTTTGAATGTCTTTTGAGTTTATATGTTGCAAATTAAAGAGGGACTTGGTAGGGGATTAAGGATATATTATGTCAGCACAGGAGCATTGCCGTCTTGGATGTTGATACCATTAGGGACAATACATCCACCAGTATTTACTAGTGGCATAGACAAATTGAGTATAAAAACTAATTAAAGATACCAGGTTGATAATTTAATGTACCAGACTCTTGTGTATCTACATATAAGACTAATCATTAATGCTAGAATCTAAACAGTTGGAAGGCCAAATCATTTACTAAGTTAAGGAGCATCAAAAACCAAAAACTGATGTTCCAAATCTGACTCAAGTCACTATCCATGATGGAGAAAACATTAGTGGTTTGAACGTTTTATTTACATTTAATATACAGAAAATGACCGTATCAGTGATGTGTCATGTCAGCACAAACAGAAATATGTGTTAGACAGGGACATTAAGGGCATACGATTTAATTTTGATCCCACGGGGATTTTTTTACAAAAAAATTCATAAAAGCTATTTTTCACATAGTGAATTCAGATATGTAATATCTATTCTTTGGACAGACAACCTATTTTGTGTGTTTCAAAAGAAAAACACAATCGGTCTTTTGTGAAAAATATTTGTAATATCGTCTTTACATAACTGAGTTCTACACGTGTGTTACAATTTTTTGGAAAAAAAATTCTTGATTTTAGAAAGAAACTGGAATTTTTGCTGTATATAAATCTAATTTAAAGAAAAAATCATCGGTGAATTGTTGATGAAAATAGGTACAAACAATCTTCATACATAAACAAAGCCAAATGTCATTTAAAAAAAGAGGGTTCACGTACTCATCTTCAAGCTTGCATTAAAATGAGCCGAAAAATGTATCCTTATCAATGATGTCACAGTTTGACGTTAAATAACATTATCTAAGTCATCACTTCCCCTGTAACTGTATGGGATGCCCTTAATATAAAAGGAATCAGCTTACAAGTTTACAAGTACTGCAATGCTTTGCTAAAAATTGATTATACTTTATGTTTTACCAGTTCATTATTGATATTTGAATGAGTCTCCTCTGCATATCTATACTACTAAAGGAAGAGGCCGATTTCATTGAGCCGCAACTCCCCTGAAACCATGCAAAGTCGGAAAAATTTGTGATTTGACGTATAAATGTAGTGTTTTGTATTTCCTAAATTTGTCTTTGAAACAATCTTTTTTTCCACAGAAAACGCCAATTTTTGAGAAAATATCCAAATTCGGAGACCGTTATCGATCCGTGTTTTATACGCTTTCGCGCATGCTCAGTCGACGTATCAAAGAATTCAACTTTATATATAACTAATATAGGACAATAGCGTTGATTAAAATTACACCATTCCAGGCCCTTTTGTTTTCCACATAATTGATATTATCAATGATAAACAAGTTCCGGGTCGAATCCGATACCGATACCAATAGTATATATGTCACCTGTTACCTGTTACCTATTGCCTAATCTGTACGTTCCGCATCTGTCAGGCGCACCACCATTTGCTATATACACGGGTCATAAACACACCTAAACTTCGTTATTATACAGGGTTGACACTACTCAATTCAATCATTGTCACATTGTTTCCGTTTGTAGTTTTGTAATCAGTTTTGCTTTATAAACAATACAAATACTAAAAATCCAGACTTGAAATAAAGGCGTAGGTACAGTTTCCAATTTGTTAGCCTGAATGACGTAAAAACGGCGGATTAAAGAATTCAACTTTATATATAACTAATATAGGACAATGATGTTGATTACAAATTACACCCCTCCAGGCCCTTTTTTTCAAATCATAAATACTATAAATAATTAATAAGTTTCAGGTCTACGGGTTCAAACAGAAAGATTTTGCATGAAAGCGGAGAAAACCGTGCCTCTTATAATCAACATGACTTTATCATATGACAATACCAATACTAACAATCCAGATTAAAAATAAGGCTTATACATGATTAGATAACTCAATTCAGTCACGGACCCGCGATGTCGCGGGTGTGGTATAGTGCTAAAAATATGAAGAGGTACTCGATAAATGCAGTCAAATGGAACTGGAGCTGGTAAAGTGATTTGCTCTTTAACATTCGTGTTTTTTTCACAACTAAACGGAACACCATGAAATTATTCTGATGTATAGAAACACAGTCTCTGTCAATGCATCAAAGGAGATTTAATGTAACTTATGAGTTTAAGCAAAGCTTTTTCACCATCATATTTTTTCTATGATTTCAGACATTTTATACACTTAATCTAGTAATATTGTGACAAATCCTGGTCGTTTTGTTCATTCTTTTTTCTAAATGCACAACGGTAACACTTTTTCATAACCATAGCTACAGACAAAATAACAAATTCAATGAGTTCTGATAATGTCAGCAGACTGGCTCCTAAAAATATTCCCATCTGTCCTCCAAGAATACCTGAAAAAATATGTTTTAGTATTTAAAACAGGGTTTCGATACAACATACATAGTTTATATGATAAATAGATTTTATTCACACATTTTTTAATATTTCGAAATTAGACTTGTCGTTCCATTTTTATTTTTTATAAGAAACACAACGAGTGTTTCAAGTGAAGTAGAATTGTGTATCCCCTTTGTCACCTGGTACCCGGCTTTTTAGTGCAATTCTTTTTCCTTAATCTACAGTTATTTGTATAGAGTGTATTGACCTTCGAAACTTTGGAGAGAGGTGTATGTAAATAATATTAGACTGTATTTGACGTATTGATATTATTTGTTTTAAACTTTAAACTTTGTTTTTGTGTTCTGTTTCGAATTTCATCCCAATATTAACTGTACTCTGTTTGGTCATATCTGAATATCCGAAGTACATTCATAGACTTAAAAACTTAAGACAGCATGACCTTAGCAGGTGAAATAATTTGAGCTTGCCTTCAGTAACTGCTTTAATTTTGTGATTGATATTCTATATATTAATTTTGTCTGAACTTGTGTTTTGTTAAGTAAAACTGTATTGATAGACCAAAGTGCTATCCATGTACTTATTTTCAATTGTATTAATTTTAAAGCCCTTTGGGATTTACTGATTGAGTGAAAAGGTAAATGCTTGGGACCCAAGTGCAACTCTGCGAATTGTTAATATACTTGTCTCATATCCGTTACCTCGTCAGTGGTTCTTTTCTCTTATATCTCTTATGTCATTTGTTATTGATAGCAGATCGTTGAACTTATTTATTTTTTTTTAAATTAAAAGCGATTAAGAGCCTGACATGTAATACAAACACCTTTAATGAGATTATTTTTACAAATAAGTTACCTATGACAATGTGTGTAAAACTGGTGCTGACAGCAGGCAAGTAAAACCATTGAGGTTGTTAAACTTTTCCATTAGCTTTTTAGCTGATACTTTTTTTAATATAAGCAAAGACAATCAGAGTAATCCGATTTTCGAGACAATTGTAGACAACTTATTTTATCTCAATTTATTTTATCCGTTTGATCTTATAAAGTAATTAAAACCCCAATATTAATTAAACATATTAGTCCAAAATCTATTTTGTTTAATGAAATCTGTAAAATTCGATATTTATTTTATTTACAGGTAATGTAATTTGTTATCGTTATGATGAGGATCCATATACGCACTATATAACATTGTAATCAATTTACACTATTTCAATAATTTGACAGATAGTTTGTTAATGTGACGAATTAATCCACTCTGAAAACTTTAAAAAGTATTATTTATAATGAACAGAATAACACAAACATTGAGAGGGAAAGAGAAAAAAACAACTTACTATTTAAGCCTTTTTTTTAACAAGCTTTGACTTCATTGTGCATTTTCATATGATGTAAACAACGGTTTATTGTAGATATACAAATAGATCAAGGATAAATACTGGGAAACTTTACGCGTAACATTTTTGAAAAAAAAACTAACATCCTACAGCCACGGGTATTCATAATCAAACTGGTTTTTCATATGTATAAATTTTAGTGCTTATTTTAATTTGGTATAATTAGTATATCCTATGGCTTTTGCATCAAGATAAGCGCTTAATTATTGTTATTCCCGTATGGCATAGAGATAAATGTAACGTCAAACAAAATTTAACTATTTCTCACTCAGTATTCTATCTCAAAGGGGATAACAACTTCGGTACTCTTGAAATGTGTAAAGGTCGTTTAGACATCTTATTGTATTGTTTATTGTATTGTTTATTTGCGTAATTCTCTGTCCCGCATGTTCTTGCATTTATTTGTACTGCATTCCTGTCATGTAATGGTGTCATTTTAGTGTTATATTTAACATTGCCATAAAAGTGCGAGGTTTGGCTAGCCACAAAACCAGGTTCAACCCACCATTTTTTCTTAAAAAGTCCTGTACCAAGTCAGGAAAATGGCCATTGTTATATTATAGTTCGTTTCTGTGTGTATTACATTTTAATGTTGTTTTTCTGTTGTGTCGTAGTTCTCCTCTTATATTTGATGTGTTTCCCTCAGTTTCAGTTTGAAACCCGGATTTGTTTTTTTCTCAATCGATTTATGAATTTCGAACAGCGGTTTACTACTGTTGCCTTTATTTATATATATGAGACGAACTCACAACTCTTTTCATGGATTGTGACATCACAGAACGATACTTTTTTTTTAACTAAATTTGTACTTGCCATGAGCAAGACAACTGGTACCACATGTATAGCAGGATCTGCTTACCCTTCTGGACACTTTAATTTATCTCCTTCGTCGGTTTAGTTTTTTGCCATGGTTTGTCGGATTTCTTCAACTTTTAATTCTAATTGTCCGTTTGGTATTGTCTGCCTCTATTTTATTTGATTTTCCCTGCATACTGCATCCACATAAATTTCAATACAAAATTTCATCAAATGAAGAAAATTTTTTTAAAAATTGCTGGTTGATTACGGCAACAGTAGTTTAAAGATGATCAAATATCGTAAATTGATTAAGAAAAGATGAATCAAGGTATCAAATGAAAACTGATGGAAAAACAAAAGGAGCGGACCTCATTGAGTGGACTTGGATATTCAAAATGTTCCTTAGAAATTGTACCAAATCAATAAAAAGATAATTGATCTTATAGGGTATGAAGAAATTCCCATTTACCAAACGAACTCACCTACAATGTCTTCTGTGTTGTATTCTGGGATAGATTCAACGAGCAAATAACTTAACGAATCATAATACAGCCTAACTTCCAAAATGTTATTCCTGCAAGTACAAAACATTACACTTTACTACTTTAAATATCACAACAAACGCAATATAGCACCCACCTTCAAATGCCTTATCTAAAAGTAGAATGAACGGCATTTATAAAATTGTAATGTGAAACATTGCATTTCAAAGGCGATGGTAAGTTTAGTGAACACAATGTCAAAGAGTTCAAGTTGTCAATTTCGCGATACAGACATTGTACAGAAAAATAAGAAATTGTAAGCTACGATCTTGTATCAATATATCATATAAACGCATTTTATAACAGTATAGTCTTAGGAAAACCTAAGTTTTAGTTTTTGTGCTAGTTTTCGTAGTCGATTCAGTACTCTCGTTACAACCATTTACCCATCACAAACCTGTTGTATGCGTTTTTCATTATTAAAAAATATAACTTTAACAAGGGCGGCGATTTGTGAAATGTTTTACCGGCTCTACCACGATTTTGTTGAGTGTTGTGGGATACGACTACCAATATTTCCACTTGTCGTAGCCATAATCTTATTATCATATCCGCGTTTTGGCATTAGTAATTGCAAATAATCAGAGGCATTTTACTTTAAATGAACAACCCGACTTGTATCACTTGTGACACAGAAACTGCCCGACTTTCGCCACGTGTTTTGGCGGGGTACGTTTAGTTTTATCTTTAGTTTTCTGTGTGTTATATTTGATGACTGTTAATAGTTTGTCTGTTCGCCATTTTGCCTTTTTCCATGGTGTTGTTTGCCTTTCTTTGACTTGTGATTTTTTTGTATCAGCTTGGTATCTCATGCTTTTTTGCTTATAAAGGTTTTTTTGTTGCTAAATCCCTTTTATCATAAATAAAAAGTGATAACAGGAAGCACCTAAAGATACCACACAGTACAACAGACCATACTGACCACCAATACCAGACTCCGCCGAAAAATACACCATGAACAAAGAACAACGAAGAGTTCACACAGCCGGACTTGGTACATGCAAAACCTGTGATGGAGTTAAAGCAGTTTAACGGGCGTGCATCTGACATTAAACTAAAACACACGATTAAGGCATCGATAGTGTAGCTACCAATAAGATGACCCGCTAATTTGAGGAAGAAAATTAAAAACGGCATATTACTTGGAAAGTATTGACAAAATGGGCTGAAAAAAATATAAAAAAAGTATCAAAGTCATATGAAAAGAGGTTCTGGTTGTTATAATGTTAAGGAAATTATTTATCAATGAATGCTTATAGACCAAACTAAGTCTCCGTGCGCGTTTTCTACAATTATAACGAATCAATAACGTATAATCGACAAAAAAATTTAATTCTGTATTTGTTGATTGGCTGCTAATTATATTTCGGGTTTTGGTACCGAAGTTTACCGATCATTATCTTCAGAAAAATAAGTGAGATGATAAATCGATGAATACTTGTTTTTAGTATGTTCCATGTATTCCTTTTTTGTTAGTTAAACTTTGTTTAAACATTTGTTAAATGATTTGGTGTATTGAAATTTTTCTATAAGAATCGATTCATGCTATTTTTCTTCTACGTTTGTTTACTTTTTCTTTCGTTACAGTTGTTTCCTCTCACTTGCGCTGCGTGTTTGCCGAATTTCAAATGAGAGGTTATGGTTAAGGTCACTGCATACGGAAAAGATTTCTGTGAATTTAGGTTACAGGAAGACAAATATTCAGTATCACACATTTCTGAAGATTTTGATAGAATAAAATGATTTTCGTTTAAAAGATAGTCTATGTACACGTCTTTCATAGTAAACTTATAAATTTAAGTATAAAAAACATATTCAACTTTTTTGTTAAATTTGAAGTATCATATGACTTTAACAATAAAACAGTAACAACACTTCTTTCAGGTTTTGTTTTAAAGTCTGGGTACTAGCAAATTTGTCTGAACTCAAATATTAAGGTGGTACCAAACACCTTGACTAAAATTAATTTGACTCGTTTAATTTTCATAAAATTTTGCCAAAATATTTATTTTGACCCTTTGACAAAAATATAAAAATTTCAAAAAACTTGAACCACACACTTTATCGGAAAAATTTCATTGTATATATATAGCAGTTTGACAAACACTAATTTTTATCATTGAGAAGCTTAATATTTCCTTAACAATAGAACGTGATTAAAACGTTCAGCTGATTTTTAAAGAGTTATCTCCCTGTAGTGTTATGAACCACCTTAATGGTCAAATAATAGACATTACAGTTTCAAAAGGAAAAAAGTAAACAACTACAACTAAATAAATGAATAACAAAAATAAATATTTAAATAAATACATGAAAAAAACAAAGACGAGTTAAATAGCCTAAGTCAATATATGCATAACAGTTGGCATACTTTATATCTGTATATCCCATAGAATTGAGTGTTGGAAAGTACACATCAGCAGGGGATGTTGAAGTCGATATCGACTGGTCAAAGGTTGTGAACTCGCATGAAATCTGACATTTACATTGTTCCTTTAACTCTGCGTTCGAATCAAATGCAACTGAAATAGACATACTAAAACTTTTAAGTATCACTTATATACATTCGCAAACATATGTCTAATATTATCTACTGATAGGAGATTTATTAATGATATCTCTGCATTGACTTAATCAATTCTATAACACCATTGTGAATTATCCGAAACAGTTTTGGTTGTTTTTATGAAAAAATAATCAGTAATTATCTAGTTAAAACAATTTTTATTTAACTTGATATTCTCCCGATGAACATGAAAACAAAAAATGGAGCGATTCAGAAAAATGTTGAAAATCACTTTCATAATGTTATCCAATTTAAAAACCCCTTCTATTAGTCAAAGAGAGATAAGCATAACACACATAAATTTAACCAACAAAGCCAAATACAGTTTGAAATGTTTGGATGAATCGAGATACATTTGTTAGTTTCTTTACAATCGATATCTTTTCCAAGTTTTATATGTTTATCAACTAATATAGTTACTTAAAGTGAGAATAAAAATCGGCCTCTTCTATCGATGTATATAATAAAAAATTTAGCTAAAAGACATTAATGCTTTTAAATGACTGTTTTGTGTGTTTACGTTGTGATATTTTACCTTTTATATCAACTGGTTGTACCATTTCAATAGGTTTGTATTTTTACCATTAACTTTGTAATTTATATATATATATATATACATAGTCTTAAGGCTGTTCATAGTTTAGCTGTCTGCAAATATAGCCCCTAGTTTAAACATTACTTCTCCAAATTCTCCATGTAAAAAAAAAACACATGCAAAATGCTCCATGTTTAAAACAGAAGCCAAACATATATATATTATCAAAATTATATTGTACCTTCATTCTGGTAGTAACATGTGGCAGCCTGGATTGGTGTACACAGAGTTTCATTTCCTACAAGAAGAAGAAAATCCGTCACTGAAAACAAGGACCATCTCATCAATTGCACATTGAAGCTAGATCTTTGAATACTTTATTGTTTGTTAAATTTATTTTATTTTAATAGTTTGATATATAACTAAACATATAATTAATCCAGTCATGAACACCTATGGTGTTATATCCCGTACTTACATTTTTGCAGTGCACCAGAGCATTTTTTTTTAGACTGCTTATGTCATCTTTACATCTATATGTTAGAGGTGTACTGATAGGTGTTGTTGTCTGAGAAAACATGGTTTATTCATTAGTTGAAGTTGGGCATTGAAATAGGTTTTAGTAACCTCTAGTTACCCCACCACATTATTTGTATGCCTGTCACAAGTCATGAGTATGTTATGCAGTGGTTGTTGTTCGTCGCTGTCTGCGTTATTGTTGGTTGCTGTCTACATCAATTGTTTATCGTTTATTGTTGTAGTATAAATCAGGCTGTTGTTTTGCTTTTTTGTTTTGTTTCATGTTTTATCCTATAAGGGCTTTTTATAGCATACTTTACGATATGGGTACTAGTGTGGCTCATTGTTAAAAGCCGTACAAGACTTGTAGCTGTTTACATTCTCGTCCTTTGGTCAATAATGGATTGTTGTCTCATAGGCAATCAAACAACATCTCCTATCTTATACTGAAGCGGTATAAACGAAACACAATTTATGAAAATGTGAGTCAATTAAAATCTCAACCATGTTTATTGAAGATTTGGTGTACCATTTCTGTATTTTAGTAAAATATATGCTTACATTTTTATTTCTACGAGCCCTTGTGGGTACTTTTGATATACTTTCCATTTATCAGTTTTGGACATTTATATATGAATAAAAGTGCGTGTATGACTACGTCATGGAGTCACACAGAACCAAGCAAGAACTTCTGGAGATCAATAACATATATGTTGATATTTTTATCGCCATGTTTTAGTCATTGTGTGAATAGATTTAGCAGAGAATATTAAGGAATACACAATATCGATAGCCGGAATCTTTAAAACTTTTGCAATAATCAACTGACCACGACAACAACCAACTTCCGACTACGCAAATAAAAATAAATCAAATAAAGACTAGCAATACGAACAAGCCATCTAGTCTAGATAGCCTTACGCACGCGTTATACATGTACATATTTTGTGGGTTAAACCAGTTTTAAGATAACATTTACCTGGATCTGTTACTGCTCTACAACCACAATTATCAACTATGAAATCTCTTCTGCACTCTAACTGACATCCTGTTCTACTATAGAATTGGTGATATTTCAGTGTGTTCTCAAAACCAGGCGATTTTGTATCGATGCAGAACTGGTCGCCTCCAGCTTTATACGGTGCAGGCAAATATTTATACTAAAAGTAAAATTAAAAAATCATATAAAAGGAATGATCAAGATCACTGGCGGTGAATAATAGGGTTATTCAAGGAACGGTACAATTTGTCGAGGTTATTCACCGGCCCTACCGATTTAGACGAAAATATCCGAATTAATTCACACCAAGTGATCTTTTATTAGCCAGTATATTTATTCAATTATACTGTGAGGTACAATAATATATATTATATAAACAACTGGACTGCCAGATGTGAGATTTTCTTGAGCCACAATAGGTTACACAATAGTATACAATAATATACCTGAAAGCTATTGCATTCATAAGCACAAATATTCTTTGCACTGTATGATATGACTAAAACATCAATAAATTATTATTTTAACAAATAATTATTTTGTTCTGACGTCACTTAAAAGAAATTGATAAATAATTGCATTTGAGTAAAGTTTATTCACTTTGATGTGATGTTTTCTATTTAAAATGAGAGTTGTGTCAAGTTTCTTCAGACCTTTGTAACAAAAATGATATGACAGTCGTTCCGTCCAGAATATCTGGGATTTTGCGTTCTTTTATATAGAAAAGAGGGTGATGTGGTATGATCCACCAGAGACAGAAAGGGGGACAGGTCCTTGACAAGTAAACATCCCACAACTTTTAGATACAAGGCAAACACTACAAGCACGGGGGCACATTTTAATGTTTGAATACAGCCCGAGCAAAAAACCCCGCAATGTTGATTTTATGGAAGATGGAAAAATTTTGTCAAATATATTTGTTGTAAAAGATGTATGAATATAGTAATAAAAAGTCTACAGCTGAATGAGTCCAAATTTGAAAAAAATCTCCAGTCGGTTGCGTTGCTATTATCATAGATTTTATTTAGAATTAATATATTGAACATGAATTATACAAATTGTGTTAGTCAGATATCGTTATTGTATATTGAAACATTTTTATTGTTGTTAGTTATGAGAATAGTTGTCAGATTAGAAATCGCAAGGAACTGAGTGCATATCGAATTTAATCAAGAATGTAATTCACAAAACATATTATCTTCAATAATTAATACTCTCTTGCTTCTCAAAACCAATTTAAATGTTTTATTCAATTAATTTACTTAAGAAAACTCTATTTTCACATTGTCATCGCGGTGATTGTTTAATATGTTTGCCAAGTTCTTTTTTTTTAAACTATACTTTGACCGTATTCATTTAACTCCCACTTTATTTGTTGAATTGTTCTAGACCGAGTTCTAAATAATTGATGAAGGTCATAATTAAGTCAATATTTTGTTTCAAAGTTTATAATTTCGATAAGTTGAACGAATTATGTATCATTTGATGAAATAAGTCATAAGCAAGAAAGAAATTTTAAGTATGGTACTATATTTTCTTTTCTTAGATATAATAGAATGACAGTTGGGCAGACATGTCTTGGTTGTTGGATGTATTACTTCAGCAAATCTCTACATCAATAGATTCTAGACAGTTGTAGAAGGCAAAATTGACAAGTTGACAAAAATGAAATTGTGAGAGTGTTTAAAAAATTCATTTGTTAGCTCAGTGAAATGAGAAAAAACCTCAAATAAATGATGTTATAAAAAGCATTGTAAATAGGAGAAAAAATTTTATTAGCTTTTTAGAAATATGGTGGATTGTTTTCATGAGAAAAAAATCGTCATTGTATACCAGGAAATAACAAGGAGTTAAAAAGAATATTGACTTTTATGTTTACTTTGAAAAGACTTTTGAAGGTCTTCACAAATTAGGTACAACATTCAGATTACAACAATATTAAAAAGGTCACTTGACTTGAGGTATTATTTTTCCTAGTCGACTATTTCTTTAAGTCTGCATATTACACAAATAAGTGATTAATTCTCCTTTTACAGATACTTTCGGTTTCTACCGACAACACAACAGTTTGATAACAATAACAAACATAAACGTAAAATTTCATTGATGGAAAAAAAAAAAAAAAATAGGTAGAAATAATTCACGATAATTGACGACTACGGTTTGCACTATTCTGAAAGTACACCTGATGTGCTCGATGAATTAGAGGTATACCAATGATGGCTCTTAATTATTATTATTATTATTAAGTAATGTTGTTTGCTAATAGAAAAAAAAATAGAGACATATGAGATCTAGCGTTGAAGTAAAATACACCATCGATATTTAAGCAATACATCATATACAATTATATTACTTTCACTATACCTTCGTCATTTTCATGGAGACATAGGTTGACATTCCTGGGGATGAGATGAAACCTTTGTTGTTGACGTCTGGTTCTTCTTCAGGGTCATGTAAGACTATCTAAGAAAAAATGGAGAGGTAAGTCCGTTTTAATATGCTCAATATACATGCATGAGCAAACTCAAAATAAGAAATTTTTATCATTTGTAAATTATCAAACGAATAGAATATTTCCACATTTTGAAGTCTTTTAACAAAATTTTGAATAAGCAACATATTTTCTCAAGCGATATTTTGACATAATTTAAAAAGACTTTTTTTTCACTGATCCAAGTCTTTTGGGTAAGGATGATATTCATATTTAAAACAAAAACAAAAAAAAAACAAAAACAAAAACAAAAAAACAAAAAACAAAAAGAAAACCGAAACTGTCCATTGTTCTGTCATTAGAGGGACACATCTTGTTTAAACTGAGACATGCTTATTTCGTCGCAGTAACAGTACAAACGACATTAAGTCACCATGGTTACTAGACTATATTATCCAATTCATTCATCAACATAATTAACATGACTTTCAATGGGAAGATAAGACATGCTTGCATTGGGAGTAGTGGATAATTTATTTTGTAAAGGTAAAAGGGGTCATTTTCATTTATATAATGCGAAAGGTTTGAAGGTCAAAGGTAAACATTCTCAAGAACAGCCGGAAAGCAAGCCCTAAGACACGTTCGTTGTTATTATATTATAAAAGCAACATTGGGTCAGATAGATGATTCCACCATTATGAAGTTCGCAAAATGTAATTGGCAGCAATTTTGAAAAAAAAACTCAATTCGGGTTTTATTAAGGCTCCTTGTAAATTGAAATCGCTAGTACTTGTAATTCTAGAAAGTATTTATAATCGTTAGAATATATATCTGAAACATGTTACCAATATTTTTTATCAATGAAGAATGCTATTTGATAAATGTTTTAGACATTTGGAGGCAAAGGACAAAAATGGGAATATTCCTACATTTGCATTTGAATATCATACTTGATGGTCTGTTTTATTTGAAATTAACAAACATTTTCTTTTTTTTCTAATTCATTAGGCACACAATTTAAACATTTTATAAAACATTTTCATCGAACTATTATAACCGTATAGTTCAATAAAAATACATTTGATGATACAACTAAGGAAAACGTGAGTATGCAATTAAAAGGTATATATGTTTTGTGCAAATATATTCAACAAATTAAAGTACATTCACCAAATTTACATAACTTGCAAACTACAATTCCCCAGCTACCTTTAAACGTTTAATGCAAACATAATAATAATGAGAACAAACAATAGAAAACTATCTTTGGTTTAACAATGGAATTAATAACTGCTAAGTAAACTACTAATTTAGTTAAATGGCTATTTAATTGCATGATAGTGAGTCCTTGCGGATGTAGATTATAGAAAATGACATAAACACATCGTTAGGAGAAGGTTGCGGTAAAATATGTCATTTTCATTAAAATTTGAGTTTCTGTTGATATAGGGTTTGGTGACTACGTTGATCGAATTTATACCGATGTGCTGGAAATGAAGGATACCACAGAAGATGTGAAGTCCTCTTCATATTTGGACTCCATTCTAGAAATAATTGAGTCCCAATTTTCCCATTGTGAGCTTTTCATTTTCATTTTTTATGTAGGAACATTCCAGAAGCGCATGCATAGGGAGTATGTATCTCCCAGTTCATACTATATTCTTCAGCTCGGGTTTTCTATCATGATGTCTTAGATAGAGAGTTGCTGCTTAGACAAAAGCTATTTAACCCCGGGTTCTTAATTGGAAAGACATCTCTTCGAAATTTTACAGAAGCCATCATGACTTCTTTATGGAATATCTATGTCACATATGACTACGGATCAGCTTTTGATACAATTGAAATCGAAATTGAGTAGTTGCAGGAAAATTGATAAAAAAGTGGTATTGTCTATAAAATCCATTGTACTTAATATTTGGACAATCCTTGGTATTTCTTTAATGTACACGTTCGTCTTAAAAAGACAACTCATTGAAGTTGTTATTTTTTAAATTCATCAACGAATTACAACAACACAAATGTATTTCTATTTGTGTTGTAATTGCTTAATGTTTTCACTTGTTATTTTCCAGTTTATTGTTCGGCCATTGGTGTACACACATCCGGTTCATGAACATTTTTGATATCATTTATTCCAAATATTTGTCACAATTATAGTACTTGCCTTAAGATAAAAAATATTTGAGAATGTGAAAAAAAAAATCTGATTGGAGAAAAGATATAGATTTATTTTGCGTTTTGTGCAGATAGATCTAAGGTATTTGAAGGCGGAAAATTAATATAATATACGGAACATAAGTACAAGAAAAGGAAAAAAAATACCGGGATATTAGTTCTAAGAAAGTCAATTCAAAACGATCTTTATTGATAGCAAGCTAATAGTCTAAACAGGACTGAATCTACCGCAGTGGATGAATCTGAAAATGTAATAGAAAGCTGTGAGCTGAAAACGACTTAGTAATTAATTTTCAAGTCTTTAAAGAACTGTACATGTTCAGATCAAAATGACCGTTTCTGATAAAAATTTCTTTACTAGTATATGCATACACATGTTTTTGGGGGTTTATGTCCAGTTAAAAATATTTCATGTAAATCCATGACGCCTAGAGCTCGATAGTATATGTGGCATTTCCTCATACTGAACACATACACCAAATGTCAAATATCAAATTCATATGACGAAGGCCATTTAACAGGAAAAGACGGTAATATAACCAGAGAAAAAAGTCTACATTTTATATTTAGTTACTTACGCATTTTGCCGATGACAAACAATTAAAAAAATAAAAGGACTAGTGATTTGAAAATTCATCATAACTACCTTGACCCCATCAGCTATATTGGTATTGAAGACATAACTACCTTGACCCCAGCAGCCATATTGGTATTGAAGACATACTCGTCCTGTTTAACATCGATGTAGAAGGTTAAGGCCGTCGCTGATCCAGTCATGCTGCCCTTCACTCTACCTTCCTTTTGTAACTTTTCATTAGCATTATAGGTAAAACACTTGCCCCATTGGGTTACTTTTGCGTTAAGGATGCTTTGACAGGCAATGACGTGTCTTTCATTAACACAATACACAAACATATCATCTAGTTCAAAAGATACATTGTCTAACCAATCTTCCGACAAGGAAGCGTTCAATGCTGCGTAAGCAGGATTGGTGTAGTCGAGAGGTGGCAAAACAACTCCTAGACGACTGCTGTGTAGTAAATGCGACATCATTACCGCACTTGCATTGACGGCAGATCGTTTGTACGGAGACATATTGCAGATAGTGACTGCTGGATAGAACATTTCTCTGACAAATTTAACATTAATATTGGTCAATGTTGGATTTGTTCTGTAGTAAGCGAACAGTGTGTAGACCGTATAGACCAGTAGTGATCCCATTCCGAACAAGGCAATTATCCATATCACCCTGAGATAAATAATGAAAAAATGATAAACATTTCGATGCAAATTTCAAATCTATAGTAGGCAGTCTATATAAAGTCGGACATAATTCAATTAAAGTTTAGCATGCTTGTTAGTAAAAATTGATTTTCTAGTTATTTTCTACTCCTCCAGTAACTTAATCGAAAGAATACAGACATAAAGCATGATGTTAGTTTCTAATCCATTCTTTGTCAAGAAAGTGGATGAACAATTCTAAAATATGTGCTAAGGTGCTTAGTTAGATTTAAATGATTTTCATGTAACAGATAAGCTAATGCTTTATATATATTTATATAGTCAAAAACTACGTAAGCGTATTAAGGACACACAAACGTTATTCTTATATTTCCTTATGACTGCGTCAAGTGTCAAGACAAAATGATTGGAAATATTTCTTTTTTTTTCTTTTTTGACAATTGTGAACTGATTCCGTTCCAGATTTTATAATTGCAAGATAACGCAAACCTTTGACAAATGACGCAAACCTTTGACAAATCACGCAATCCTTTGGGTTATAACGCTTTCATTTGGATTTTTATTGATCATTAAGTTCTGTATAATCTATTATCAGAAACTATGTTTGATTAACATTTTGCATGTATTATAAAATGTTAAAAGTAGTGTTTTGTAAGTATAATAGTGGCATTTGCATGTCCGTCTGTCAGTTAATTTTGGTTGTGATTTAGTTAAAAGAAGGACCATGTACAAGGCCAAGTCATTATCATAAAGAAACATAGGCATAAGAGAATACTTTGTACACAAATTCAGAATCTGTTGTGTCAAAAACAATAGATAAACAGTACCATGACAAAAGAATGGAAAATATTTCAGGTTTTTTTTTCAACAATAGTGGACTTATCCCGTTACAGATCATTCGTAGTTGTTTGATAAAAAATTGTAGAAATTAAAGTTTTCGGAATGTTTTGGGAGATTAGTTTAAAAATACGTTTATATGAATGTTTTACATTACATTGAAAGTAAACATCCAAAAGCATGTCTCTCTTGTTATGAAACTACGTAAACCGTAGGTAACAATAACTTTCTAAACTATTATCATATTTATACAACTTACCATCTTAGCTGATATTTGTTTTCTCTCCTTGCATGTTTCAGACCGTGCATAGTTGTGTTTTCTCGGAACTCTCTCCATAATGACTCAACACTAACCGAGTTAGTATTCGATTTTAAAATATCTTTTTCTTGACAGTTTAATTTGTTAATGATGCTTTCATTTCCTGAAGGTGAACATTTAAGATCTTTTTTCAATTCTTCTTTATTTGAATTGTCTATATTCCTAAAATCCTTGGATGCTTTATCACGCGCAGGTCGAACTCTCACGAACGGCATACCTGCGGAGTTTCTTGAAATGATATGAGCTTAGTTTATTGACTAACAACTTTATATAGGCTGATGTTTATTACTGATTGATTTTCTGTGTTTTGTTTGAATGGAAGCAATAAGTTAAATTTGTACTGTATTACTTTCAATAATTGTTCTGTAAAGGCGTTTTCTTAAATATATCAAAATTAACAGGCTTTAATGATTTCAGTAAAAATGATTTACTTTAACAACGACAAAGGCACGAACTATTAATAGAATTCTTGGAATCAAATGCGAATTCTAGAAATAAAAAAAATATGCACCAGAATCATGCTCTTCTTTCTATGGTGTTTTTTCTATTCACCGAGTTCACAATATGGCGTTAGTTTGATAATATTCAAGAATAATTTGTTAATTAACTCTCAATATGTAACTGTACTTTTATGTTGGAACTGGAGGGAAAATGATTTAAAGGTTTTTAATATGTTGAAAGCATGAGTTGTTTACGTTAACTTGGTAAACTATGTATTTATTCATTTATCATATCGAGCTCGAGTGGGTAACGATATTTCTCCCGTTTTGGTGATTAAATTTAAGAACATGTTAATGGCGATTCGATTTTACATTAAGATTGAACAACGCAAAACATTTCCACAAAAAACGGGTGCGAACTCGGAAGTTTCGGAAAGGTGATCAGTTAAAGATCCAACAGTGAAATCCTTCGTGTTAATCTTGGAAAAATCTCCATCTCCACCTTTTCTTTGACGAAACCTTTCTGTGGTTATTAATGCGCTACCAAAAAGCGGATCCGTAGTGGTCAATTTTTAACCCTGTTTGGTGTGCTGGGATGTATAGATACATAGCAACGTCCTTTTGAAATAGAAACGTTAAATCCGATATCTCGTTCACGCCCTTTACATGTTCAAGAACACTTGCCAGAGCTCTCTATAGGTTCTGTAGTCAGCAAGTGGTAAATTTCTTTTCCTATCCAGAATACCGTCATTTTCCGGTTGGTTGTTCCGCCTGTCATCGGTCGACCTACTTTGCAGAAATAAGATATCATATTTATTGTTTATGTGTCCACAAATGCTTGAAATATTTGCCTCTGTACAGTAGACACTTTTAGACACTACTTGAGTGAAAATATTTTATTGATAATAGATTAACATTAATGATTGTGCATGATTTGTCAAACAATTTGATACCCCTGTTCAGCATACAGTTTAATTTTTCTAATCTATCTAAACATTTGAATGCATATCATTTTAATTGTTGCGTGAGATTTTATATATGTCTACCACTGGACGTTAGGATAGCCACCGATTAACCAATAAATGAATAAATTGTTTGTGTACATTGGTTTTATCTTTTAGCTCTTCATTTGAGATTTGAATTTTCTCTAATTATGTATACAAAACAACGTTTTAACTGATTGACCTTTTGTCTCATTTTGAGATTGATGTCTTTTTCTTAACTTGAGGTATTGTGTGAAAATCTCTCAAAATGATACTCCCGCCTCTTGCAAAGTCAATGCTGTAGTAAAGGAAACACACAAATGATGTAGACAGAAAAAATAAAATAAGGGGCCCACAAAAGCATTACATGACTAAAATTGTCGGAAAGTTTCAATTATTTGTAATGACGGATTTAGGAGGAGTTACGGTACCAAATTGGTACCCACTAATAAGGCAATTACAAAGTCCATGTTTCGTTCATGGACACCTTAAACATGATTCAGACCAAAAAACCAATATAGAGGGTACAAAAAGCCTAATATTGTTAAAATTGTGAGAAAGCTTCAATAAATTGTAATAAAGGGTTTAGGAAGGTTTGCGGATATGATATGGTTACCACCCCACATTTGTTGCAATATAGTGCAGTTATGACAAATTGCATGTCATCACAAAGAAACCAAAATAATCACCAAGATGAAGATATGTAAAAAGATTTGCAAAAACACAACGTGATTTAGATTATGTACAAGAAGCACAATTCTGTTTACCAGTTCAGGAGCAATTGCGAATAATAAAGTGGTAGAGTAGAACGAACGGACAAACAAACGAAAAAACTCACGGACTCTCCAGCAATTATATATCGCCGATTTGAAAACGGGATATAATTATAGAAAGGGATTCTCGTCCTCATAAAGCGAATGGCTAAGCAATGATCAATCAATCAATGTTTATGGAAATGTGTATGATAATGTATATGTTATTGCTTGCGATATATTATAATCAATATATTGAAATAAACTGCATTACTTAACATGCGTATCAAATTTAAAACTTTGTATAAATAAAGTGCATGCCTTAAACATTACACACATATACTAATGGTTTATTAGTTAACGTTTCAAACAAAAAATCTGTAACACAATTTTCAAAAGTAATGGTAAATAGCTTCAGCAGAGTTCTCTCCATGAATGATTATTTTTTTCTTGTTTTTTTGAATATCGAATCACACCCCTAATATTTTTATATAAACACAAAGAGATGTGTGGCCGGGATACTTAAATATGACAGAAACCCGAACGACATATTTAACCAAATGCAAATTAGAGGGGAACGAGCGATCTTCAGCAATACATAAGAGTCTATACAGTATAAAGTCTGAAAGAATAGCCAAAAACTGTATTTTATCCAAACAATGTCCAAAATAATGTTAACACTATGAAAGTGTCCATAGTGTATTATTGCTACGTTTATTATTGAAAGACAGTAAACACTTATTTCTTCAAAAGAGGTGAAAAACAAACCTCTTATTTCAACATCATCATGTCCAGAAAAGATAAACTAGTAGAATCATTCAACACATTTTCATCAGTAGAGCTGGAAATCCAATATTGGAAAAACAAAAAGATTCTACGGATATGAAATCTTAATCCAAAATGATTTAAACAAGCCTAGGACACCAACACAGGCATGGAAATTCATACCTCACCGTTTGCGCATCGCAAATGTATTTCTCTAATAAAGTTTTGAGTAAAATCAAAATATGCACTGTGTATTAAAAATCAAACTAACAATAATAAGATACTATTCAATTTCAATTTGGGTTCTTATATGCTGCATTTTTTTCTATATACTATGCAATACTCAGATTTTCTATTCGTAAAATTATATGTGTGTTCCCTATATAATTGTCCAATGCTTAATACAAGTTAGTGTGGCAGTTATAGCAAATGGTTGAGTTTGACTTAATTAAGATATATCAAGTAGATTGGTAATGTGGTATACATCAGGTCTTTGTTCGTGTTTTTGACAAACCTAGCCAGGTATATGTGACCGTGACTGAGAAAATGGGTCCAGATAAGCTTTATTCATATTTTCAGTTTTTTGCATTTTTTCAATGCTACTAATGTGCTTCCATGAATACAAAATTGTAAGATGATATCTCAACTGGTTTCGAAAATACAGCATGTTCTAATTCGGCATGCATATGCGTACAGTAATATATAGATAGAAAAATTTGGAGTTTAAACAAAATTCTGACTATTTATTTTCTTTGGCAATTGGATTTTTTTTAAATGAGTTCCACCTCAAAATTCTATTATCTATAAATACTCCAGATCTGAATATCTATATTGATGACAATTTTAATTCTTTATTGAATTGTCATGATAATGCCAAAATATTTAAATATGTTTTTTTCTAATGTACATGAGATTTGACATCATTGCATTTGACACAGTTAAAGTTAAGTACTTTTTATAAGAAAAATGTCAATAAAAAAATTAAACAAAAACATGATATAAAATCTTAAATTAATAAGAAAATGAATGGGAATGTTATTTGTTGGTAATTAATAGACTCATTCTGGTTTTTATTTAGTATCTTTATTGAAATCAAATATTTTAATGAAAATAGAATTATGAAAACTTAAGGGAGCCTTATATAGGAATGTTTTTGGCATAAAATGAACAAAAAATGTTATGTTTTGAATTATGCATAATATTATTGCCATCTACATTTCCTTATAACTGTCATGACTGTATAAAATGTACACATTTATAAAGTCACTTTGAATTTTAGCTCACAATGTTTTATCTTGTTTAACTCGACCTACGTTTTCCTTTTTAAACTCTGTTTATAAGTAAAAAAAAAAAATAAATAAAAAAATAAAAACACAATTTAACACATGTTTGAAATTAATGTCATTTAATGCATTTAGGCGATAATGTGTTTAAACAGCTTTCCTGAAAACATAACAAATATACCTTATATAAAAATGAGGAGATGTGGTATGATTGCCAATGAGACAAGTATCTAATCAAGTTAAAGTGAAGTGGTATAAAAAAAAGGCACTGTACGGCCTTCAACAATGAGGAAAACGCATACTGTATGGCTGGCTATAAAAGTCCCCAACATAAAAAAGTGAAACAATTCAAATGAGAAGACTAACGGCTTAATTCATAACAAAACAATTACGAAAAACAAATATTGCAGACATGATCATGTACTACAGGTTGCTAACTTTGCTACCCTCCAGCAATTGGCTTAAATCTGTAGGAGGCACACAAACCACTAACATAAGAACAAAAGACAAAAAGAGTCAACATACATGTACATGTATATATTAAATTGTGTTTTGTAACTTAACTTTGACTTCTTGACTGAGAACAATTTATAGGTTGAGTTAAACAAGATGAACTTTTGAGACTTAAACATGTTAAAATACAAAGCGACTTCATAAATGTGTACATTTTATAAGGGCATGTAGATGCTGGTATACTATTCATATTCAGACAATAGACTCGGACTTCTTTTAAACTTAGTTTTACTGTGCGTATTGCTATGTATTCTTTATTCTACATTGGCTAGAGGTATAGGGGAGGGTTGAGATCACACAAAACATGTTTAACCTCGGCGCATTTTGCGCTTGCCCTAAGTCAAGAGCCTCTGGCCTTTGTTAATCTTGTATGTTTTTTAATTTTAGTTCATTTATATGTTTTGAGTTTAGTGTGACGTCCATTTTCACTGAACTAGTACACAATTTTATTAAGGGGCCAGCTGAGGACCACCTCCGGGT